TGTATTTGCTGCTCGTCGGCCATGAATTTACTTATCACATGAAGCATGCAAGGTTAGAACTAAATACAGTATATGAGACCCCACACTTTATTTTGTAAATCCATCAGAATAACAAATTAATTTAATAAATTACATATGCTTTCCGTTGTGAAATGATCAAGAAAACCACTAACATGAAGGCAATAAAAATAATTATATCCTATAACAGTCTACGTTATGTACAAGACAATTCAGCCCCAATGTGCCTCAGTTTGAATTAAGACTGATGACAACAAAGGTTTGGTCATAATACTACCAGATTGCCATAATCATTGCACCACTTGCGATGATTTAGGAGAAAATATTGTAATGAACATCATGAGTACCATTTTGTGACTAGTCATGGTATGTGATTATGTGATATTACTAAATGATAATGATTCAAATCATAATATAATATTAAAATGGAAATATATTATGTATGATTTTTGTTTTTACAAAATGATGAATGATGATTAAACACTTATGAAGTCACACTTTTCAAACCACCTTGTAATGACTTGGGGCTCTTGATGCATGAAGATAGAAAAGGAACCTTAATTAAATTAAATGAACAGAGTGCAAGTGGTACAAAAAGCAGCCTAAGAAAATGCAAGAGTATGATACACTCTGGTCCAATAAAATTCAGTGTAACATCACAATTAAAATTGTAAATTTATTTCCATTCAACACCATACATCCTGACTAATAAAAGAGGCATACAGGTATTCCTCGTTTAGCGTTAATTCATGTAATGTTAATTTGGTTGAATGATAAAAATTTTTTGACACACTTTCTCACTTAATGTCAAGTCAAAATTCGTTTTAGCAATAGCTTGACTCACTGGGATGGGTGAAAACGGGACGAGGTGGCCTGTGAGATGGTATGACGTGGAAAAATCATTACAATACTCTAATGTGACTTTGAAATAAAGAAAATATAATATAACATTATAAAACAAGGAAAATGTAGAGCATGGGTGTGTGAAGTGAACATATTTCTGGAGGCAGTGGGTTGTAACAGTGTTATGAGTCCAGCCTGCTCCCTGACTCCCATCCCCAATGTGACATCATGGCATACACACAGCAGCCACACATCTCTGAGTCAGCTGGGTAACTGACTGACTGAAGTGTCACGTCACCCAGAGGATGGTTTGAGAGTGGAAGGGCCTATTCTATGTACTGTACATAAAATATGTGCTATTGTATTTTCTGATATGCTATGTATCAATTTTATTGTTTTCATAATTTTTTTTTTTCATTTTTGATGTTTGAAATTTGTTTAAATTTGGCTCACCTTTTGCTCAATAAATTGTTCAACCCTGAACCACAACGTTTATATAGAAGTTTGGTGTTGATAAATCAACTGTTTAACTTCAAAACTGTTTATAACAAATTAGTTTTAGTATTATCATCAGGGAGTACCATACTGTACAGTGTTTACCACCCTGCTGTGTGAAACTGTTGTTTGCCCTCTGTGCTTTGCTGCTATTCCTTGTTTAGTGATAATTTTGTGTAACATTAGGTTTTTGAGGAAAGCAACTCCATCGTTGAACAAGGAATAACCTGTACTTATAATACAACTTCAGCCGCTTCCTAAGTAAGCAACACATTCATCGGTAAAAGTATCCTCAGGTGAATGTATTTCACTTGATAACTTTTAAAACATTGTTATCAGAGACTAGTACACTTCAACAAATTTCTCACCAACCATGTTTCTCTACTAAAGCCAAGGCATTAGATCATTATTCAAAACCCTACTGGCACACTGGAAAGTTTATGTAAATTAACTGGCATTTTGATCAGAGTGTTTCTATTTAGATGCTAAGCTATCTTGCAACAGAGATCATTCTTGGATTTGTTTAAGAAGGGGCAAAGAGATCATGTGATAAAAAATTTTTGGAACTCTGGAGTACATGTAAACCCCCTTTTCTAGATGAGATAACCTTTTTACTGTGCTTGCCAATTTTGGGGGCTCGGCATCATCCCACAGCTGTGACTACTGATCTTATGATTATCTATCCCTCCCTGTCCATAATGCTCCAGTACAATACAAGTACTGTCCAGGAAGGTGTCATACAAATGCCATTTTTTAGTACTAAGCGTGAATACAAGGCCATAGAAAAGAAAGTATATACCCCGGTTTATATATATATATATATATATATATATATATATATATATATATATATATATATATATATATATATATATATATATATATATATATATATATATATATATATATATATATATATATATATAATTTGCATTATATATATATATATATATATATATATATATATATATATATATATATATATATATATATATATATATATATATATATATATATATATATATATATATATATATATATATATATAATTTGCATTACCAATCCACATATCATAACACCTCAGCTTATTTTAATTGTAATAGTGTGAAGCCACACTACAATACACTAATAACAAGACCTAATCAGCATTAAGTATCCTCAAAATAACTAAAATTAGTAATTTTAATATACTTATGATTGTGTAAATATATTAACAATTATTATATACAGTCTCACAGTACAGTAATATAAAGATTCACTCATCACTGTTTTGTGGCCATTTTCCATGCTTGCATGGGTGAAGCATAATATAACAAAGGGTATGTCACAAAAGTGCAAAATGCCTGGAGCTGCGAAATTGAATCAAATATCCCAAGGGTACATACTGTACAATATGATTGGAGGTTATCTGATATTTAATGGATACTTGGGGGAGTTTAAGGCTTCCTCTTAGTGAAACTGCACTTCTGGCTAACCCCACCCTATCAAAGCTACCTCACAGACCCTCCTAAATGGATTATGTAACTATAAAAATCACACTTAAGTACATAAAACTCCCTTGGTATTTGTGAGGTAAAGGGTTCCACATGCAAAGTTGTGTAAAATATCGACGGGGTTCTCCTTAATGGCCCACACCACAGCCAGCTAATGGTTTTCTTGAAACCACAGGGCAACATAACCAGATGAATTAACAGAAGGTCATCAAGTTACAGCACTGGTTTTTAATACCTCATCTTCATAGTTGCTGGTGTTAATGCCAGCTACTTCTAGAATGCAGCTCTGAACTCAAAAGAGAGACTGACTAGTATGTAAATAAACCTTAAAAAAGGATGCAAGTACAGTATGATAGTGATAATCTTACCTAAACTGTGGTATCATCCCTGACTACTATCCCTGAAGTGTCATAAAGGGGCAGACACTTAAACTTTTTCAATGGTCAAGCAGAGTATGGGAGAGCAAAGCAGGTGACTGCTTTCTTTATGTATGTCTGTATGCCTTGAAATCAAAGTTGGTGGGCCATTGCAATGGTGTGAGGTTCTGTCTGCAGAGCTAAAATTAAATTTGACTTACTGCCAGAGGGAAACTTTTACCTTTTCTCTTCTGAGTGCAATGATCAAGATGAAGAGGGAAAAGTGATCATAAAATCTTCCCCAAATATCTAATGGAGTCACCACATGATGGACATGTCCCAAAAATTAGCAAGTGCAGTAACAAGTGCTGCCATACGAAATGCAGGGAGCTTGAAAATTTGTGATTAAGTTTGCAAAATATGATCTCTTTATTTAAAGCATATTATTGTTGGTGACGTTTACCTGATCATAACAAATGATGTGCCCGAAAACTGTATAAATAGAATAAATAATACAAAATCAATCCCTGTTCATCAGCGACCCAAGTAATGCAATGCTGAGGATAGAAACAGTATTAACCAATCAATATACAGTAACGATGTGCTTATTGGCTCTCTCTCCTGTTTTATTCCAGAAGTATAATGAAAAACTTTGTAATTATGGATTTTTTTCAATTATGATACATTGAATAAGATATTGGAGACTGAAGTTTAAAATACTGAATTTAAAATATCAGTCTTAAGATGCCTCTCCCCAGTGTTAACTTGACCTAAATTTATGAACAATGTATTGCATTATGGGAAATAATCTACTTTTTTCATTACATACTTACTGTTGAAATAAAATTGCTACATACAGTCAACCCTCACTTTACGCGGTCCCACATTCCACGTTTCCACGTTTAAGCGGTACCCTGCCGGAACCCGGGATGCTCACATTCCGCGGTGCGTGTACCCCTTTACGCGGGTGAAGTATAATGTTTTTATTTAGCTCATAAAATTCATACAAATTATCCGGCCAGAATATAATTTACATTGCTGGAATTCTTACAATTTGATGATCATTTTGAATATAAACATCATAGATTTTGCATTAGACATACAAATTTTAGATCTAATGCAATTATTTTGTTTACTCTGAGTATAAATATGTTCTCTTTTGTGCAAAATATATGACATTTATATTCAAAATATTCCTGGTCTTACAAGGAATCCAGCAATGTCAATTATATTATCCTAACTTTAGTTTGAGGTATTATTTATTACTATACCTTAAAATCTAGTGGTTTTCCCCCAAAAATTTCTCAGAGAGGGAAGAGCCAGCGAGTGTAGTGTGAGAAGAGGGGGAGGGAATTGAGTCCATTATTTGAATGGACAATAACTTGGCGACTGTATTTCTCTTAAGTATTAATTGTGTGCATGTGCCATCATAAAATTAAGATGTTATTTTTACTAGAACATAGGTATTGTGTCGGAAAAAGTGGAGTTTGGAGGTTAGCCGGTCTCTATTTCATTTAATCCCATATGTTATGTTGTTCACTTTACGCGTTTCTCACTTTCCGCGGTACCCTGTGGGTTGAATTAACCGCGTAAAGTGAGGGTTCACTGTATTTATTACTAAATTTTCTATATATATATGGCATAAGATGTACACTCGCACCAAAAGTATTGGTGCAGGTGAGATCGACGAGTTCCAAAACGATACGTATACACTGTGATATGTCGGGAAGGTTGGTAAGTGTATCCTCATAACCCCCCCCCCCCTCCACTAGGTGTTGCCATATGGCTGACAATCAGGGCTGCCAACATACGGCTGGAACAACTCGCCTTTCCCAATACCTATCGTCACTGGTCTCAAATTGTTAACACTACAGTATGCACCGATACTTTTTGTTGCGAGTGTACATAAGCTATGCTATTATACTTCTAAGAAAATCACATTACTTCTCGGCATTTAATGAATGGATGAATTCCTCAAGCTTCTCCTGAATTTGTCTCACTCTCTCTGAAAAACAATAATTTGAGTTTAGTCAAGATTATAATGGCTGCTTTTTTCTCTCTCTTGAAATGTACATAGAAAGACAAAGGTGATACTTTGGTCATATAATTAGGAATGAGAGGATAATAATAGAAATATTAATGATAAAGTTGAGGGTAGGAAGGCAGAGACTGAGATGGACGAATGACATTAAAAACTGGGTCCCCAGAGAGATACAAAACCTTGGAGAATTTGTAAAAACAGCCCGAGAATGTTTAAAGTGGAGGACTGTGGTCACAAACCCTCAGATAGTTATGAGAACAGTACTCTGATTGATTCAGAATAGCCAGGCAATTAGTGGATAGAAACAAGAATGTACAGTAGCTGGTGAGCAGCATGTGAGAAATGAGCACAGTAATGTGGTTGTTGATAAGGAGGAATCAAGACTCTTGGAGAAAGTGCTATGATCGACTACTGAATGAGGCGTACAAGTGGGAAGGGCAGCCTAGGAGTAGCAGAACCAGTATATGGACTACTGTATACTCAAAGATTGAAAGAGAATGGGTGAAGAAAGTAACTGACAAATGAAGAATGGAAAGGCAGCTGGAAGCTGTGGAATAACTGCAGAAATGCTGAAAGCATCACACGATGTAAACCTGTAGATGGTGACCGAATTATCTAATTCTGAATACCTTGCCTTTTATGTCTGCACTATTCAGCATATCTGCAAATGCATCCATTTATGCTTCTTAAGCTTATACTGTAAGCCTTTCTTCATGCCCTGCATTTGGCCTCCAGGTACTCCTCCTTGTTACCACCCACCTTCCAAGCTTTATACAATCTTCTTTTCTCCTTTATCACTCTGACCACTTCCTTGTTCCACCACCATGTTCCTGCATGCCTGGCTAGGCCCTTTGTCCAGTCACACACCTTGTCAGCTGGACTTTGTACAACATCCTTTATTTAGGCCCAGCATCTTGCCACACTACCACTAAAACTGTTGTTGGCTGTTTCCACTCTTCTAAGCTCAATATAAAATGCTTCTCCTATATTCTCTTTTTTATAACATACACCTTCCTTTCACTACACGTTTCAAGCAACTGTGCTGTAGGGCACATTCTTCCCTACTATAACCTTCAAATTCCTCACAAGCTTCCTATCCATGTCCAATTTAATATACCATCACCAAACCTGAAACTCTCACATTCCTTCTAGAGGCAGAGAAGAATGACATACTTTTAGTAAATCCAAGCATTAAACTTATATAAGATACTAAGGAAGGAACATTATATCTCTACCAAATTTCTATGACTAAAGCAGAAAAGAGGCGGCTTAAAAAAATTCAGGTATGAGAGGAAGCTGGTTCCTGCTATGCCATGGAGTTACTAAGAATGTAATTCCAAGAAAAGGTAGGATACATACAAGTATATACTGTATATATATCTGCTCCTAAATATCCCAAGTCATAAAGTAATAAATCCTAATAAGTCTTTATCCTTGACTTTAGCCCATCTAACTGAACTAGATGGTTGCCTGTCATATCTAACTTCAAATATTATAGCTCAATCCCATGTTTAAAAGGAAGTATGAGCTCTATGGTGCTTTTCACTCTTAAGTCGCAAAAGTTTTGCTATATCAAAGTTTATCAACACCTAAACTTGACATGAAATACAAACCCTAAACCTGGGATTTGTTGTATGCTGGTGATTTAGTGCTGATCGCAGGTAGTATTGAAGAGACAGTGGAGAGATTTAAGAAATGGAAGGATGGAATACAGGCAAAGGGCATGAAAGTGAATATGGCTACAACAAAAATATTGATTCGTGGTGTGGGCGAGGGATTTGCGGTGGAAAGTGGAAAATAACCATGTGCTGTTTGCAAGAAAAGTGTTGGCACCAACTTAATGACTTGCAATGAGTGTGGAAGGTGGGTACACTAGAGGTGCAATGGAATAGATGGCTGACTGCGGGATGTTGCTGATTTTAAATATTCAGTACAGTACTTGTATGTGCAAGTAAACCATGTTTCCCATAGCAAGAGCAAGGCTAGAAAAACCGAATATATTGGGGATATGTCCCTGGTCTGTGTCAAAGAGTTCTGTTATTAAGGTGACATGATCAGTACCAGTGGGGGTGCTGAAGCCTGCTCAGTTGCAAGTCAGAAGTGGTTGGAGGAAGTTTAGGGAACTGCTGCCTTTATTGACAACAAAAGTACTTTCCCTCCAAGTGAAAGGGAGAATGTAGGCAGCGTGTGGGACCGAAATGAGAATGGTGAGGTGAAGGTGTAATGTGACACTGAAAGATAGGAGGCCCTATTCAGAGTTGAGAGGGCAACTGGGTATTGAGATTATAGGTGAGGTCCTGTGCAGAGGTAGGCTGAGAAGGTTTGGGCATGTGTAGAGAATGGATGAGACCAATTGGGACAAAAGGTGCATGAGCCTTAATGTGGGGGGAGGAGAGCTAGGGGTAGGCCAAGAATGACATGGTTAGAGGTTGTAAGAAATAACATTAGTTAGAAACCTGACAAGAGATAGGGTAAGAGACCATGCAGCATGGAGAGCTGCCATAAGGTAACCATGGGTAACCCATGCAAGCATGGAAAATTACCATAAAATGGTAATCATAATGAATACCCTGACTTACTCAGTTCTTCTGCTAGCATGACACGTCGACCAGTGAGTAATTTCTCCTTCTTATCCTGGTCATACCCATACTCTTCTAAAACTTCCTTAATTTCCTTTTCAAGTCTCCTTGCTGTAAAATATAATTCCAATATTAAAACTTAGCAAATTGCTGTTCAGTATTACATAAAATGATATTTCCCATGGTCAAGGCTTATATTATGCAAGCATTGTTATTTATGTAGCCAAATTTTGGAAAACAGGCAGTCTTTGGATTCAGAGCTTAAAGCCTTGGAAGATTGATAAAACCCCTGTGTTTGTTTTGAACCTCAATAACTTCATTCTATTAAACCAGGGGTTCCCAAGCTTTTTCTAGCACGACCCAATCCAGTGTTGTCAACGATCCAGTGAGACCCCAAATCATTTCACTGGCAGACCCAAAGGACCCCAGCGACCCCACCGACCACATGACCTCTTTGTGACCCTACCTAATGAGCCTTCCAACCCCAGGTTTGGGAACCCCAGTATTAAACAAACGAGCTTTGACAAACTTGAATTTAGTTTTGTTCATACTTCCCTCGATACCCCCTCCCATCCTGCATTATAACAGGAAGAGATTAAAATTGAAACCAAATATAAATATATACATGAATATATTACTACACATGTATGTTGTATCACAATTGAGTTAACTTAACATACCTTCTCGATTCATGACCTGTTGCCGCAGTGCATTGGATGTGATTTTGAACATCTGCTGAATCCTCCAGAAAAGTACTACATCATTACATTCCACCTGATTAGAACATGATAGAAAATCACAATAAAAAAGTATTCCTGATTATCTTTCATATGAATCATTATGAGTCAATGAGTCAAGCATATACTATGTGTTGCAACTCACCTGGCTACTGGACATTTTGTACATCCATAGACATTATATACTGTACCTGTTTTACATTTTTTGTATATAAATAAGAGCACAACCTAAATAAAATGTATGATCCATACCTTAATCTGAATTATTAAAATGGAATATCACATACTTTAGAATCTAAATATATATTTTATATACTACTGAACTGGACTGTACTATGAATCCATTTTATAGTCCATGAAATAAAATAACATTGATTTACAAACCCCAAGTTCTCCTTCAAGTCCTTGATGGTAGGCATAGAAAGATTTTCGGCAGTCATAAGCTTTTGACAGTGCACGCCGTAGAAAATGTCTTCGGTAAACTGGATGCCATGTTTCCCGTACAAATTCATTATCCACATCAATACCTTGACCTTGGGCATTTTTTCGTACTGTAGTTACTTCATCATAGCTGAGTGTATTCTTATGTGCCTGCACATAGAATGAAACTGTTATTCACTTTAACACTTATTGTCTGACTGACTGGGTGAGATAATTTTATGATCAGTCCACCTTTCACAATTATATGACTTTCCAAAATAAGCATATTATTTTTTTGGCATTTCAAGTCTAACCCTTTGTGTATAGTTTTGCCTCTGAGATGAATAAAATAGTCTGGTGTTAGCCAAATTAAATATTGAAAGTGGTATCTCTGTAGTGAAGGGGTTAAACATTTTGATGGTCAGGAAAGATGTAAATTTTTAATGTACAGTACCATTTCATGTTTACTCAAGGGGAGGGAGGAGGTAAGAAGGCCCTGTTATTACAAGAATCCTCCAAATAAGGGACACGGTTTGTACAAATTAGTCCAGAATTGGGAGAGCTTATAGTACAGGGAGGGGGAAAAGGATGAGGATGATGATGATGATGATGACAGCAACTTACATATTCAGACACAAGAAGTTTTTCCAGCTCGTTCTTCACAGTGGATCTCTTCTTCTGATCTTCAGTTGGATAATACCAGTACATCCACTGCTCCTTGGTGCTTGGACCCACCATCTCTCTAATACAGCGGTAAAAAACTTACTTCAATTTAATGTTGGGAGGAGAGGAAAAAAATAGTAAATGCTTTAAAATAAATAAATAAATAATTTATAACACTATTACCAGGTCAAAAAATTGAAATATCAGAGGTGGGCCACTTAACACATGTATGAAACTAGGAAGTGGATAAACATATTTTTTGATCCATCAACAGCATAAAAACCCATTTTTAGTGGTTGCAGGCAATTCTTTCAATTCTCTTGCCTAAAGCTATTTTTCTTTAATGGGAATTCCTGATCGTATCTGAAGAAATTCACAATAGGAAGAGCATCTTTACAACATTCTGATATGTAACTTCTCCATTATAGAAGAACAGCTATAAAAAATGCTCACACAAAGATTTACAGCAATGAGATATTGATCCTAAAAACCTGTTTTCTAGCAGAACTCACAGCCAAGTGGCTCTTGTAATAGTACTTCCTTTATTTGGGTTCTCAAGGTACTTTGCCACACTCCTATATGGCACAAAGCCTAATTATTTACTAATTTTTTTAGATTTAACTCAATTGGCTGGTTTACAACTGAGGGTGGCTCTATTTTTTTAAAAACACCTGCGCACATAAATAAATCATATAGAAAGCATTTATTACAGTACTATCAAATAAAATCCTACATTTCTGATAGTGTGGGAAAATTCAAACACAAAAAATAAATTGCCAATCTCAAATTTGGAAATCTGTAATGAACATAGTTGGGAGATCAGGTGATTTAGACACCAACTGCTGTCTGCAATCAGGTCTAAAACCTCCTACTGAACTTCTAAATTTTAAACCCCTTACTGAGGTAATGGAGTCACATTTCCAAATAATGAAACCATATTTTTCTAATCTCTAAGATATTTGTATTAATTATGACAATTATTACCCATATACAGTACAGTAAACCCTCGAAGATCCGGACCCAGGAAATCCGGATTTCGGAAGATCGGGCAAAAAATTTGGGGGTTCTGGGCTAAGAAGTTACTTGACCCGTCAGTTGCCTAGACACAGGTGCCCGAGGAGGTGGGAAACAAACAGAGTTGACAATTGTTGTTTGTGGGAATATTATTTCATCCAATCTAGTAATGATACAATGTTTCTTATTATGTTATGAGAGGTAAATGCATGGTTTATATATGGTAATTTGTTTATAACTACATTAGTACTGTATCTTTGGTGTTTCTTATATCATTTATTATTCGCCGGAAAATCCGGATCTTCGAGGGTTCACTTTACAGTACTATATAAGAAATTGTACAATAGTCCAGGAAAACAAGATGGATGAAAATCACCAAAGAGCATAGCTAGAAATAAGAATATATATTAAAATGAAGTTCAAAAATTTTACAAATACCCCTATCATATAAGTTTTATCTCCCTAATAAGATTCTGTCCATAACTCAAAATAAATCTAAATGAAAAAGTGTACTACAAATCATTTTCAAACACAAACCTTAGGGTCCCCTCTGTGGTCTGAAGTTTTTCCTTGACTGAATCCTCAAGGAATTTGCACGCTGCATCCCACTGCTGTTTTTCATTGACTGAACGATCCTCCAGGGCGTTAAGCTGTATAACACGCAGTACGTCTGCAGCCTGGGGTGTGAGGCATCAGAGATAAAATAAAATTTTCTTTTTGTTCATTGGAGTACAATAGATTATGTTCATTTTCTGAATAAATGGATTTATGATACAATGGCATGCCAGTTATTACAAACCAAAATACCTAATAATAATACAGTACAGTACCTTATCCTCCCACACATGCCTTCTCATGGCTTCATCAACAACACAGGCCTTGAGGTTGTCAAAGATAGTGTCATGGTCTTTGGAGTTCTTGGCATGTTCCATGAACTTCCTGAACTCATCTTCTAGTGTCTCCCAGCCCACCTCCACACACTTTTTAGGTAACATTTGGTCTGCCCACTGTTTTAGTTTAATGTCAGCTGTGGTATTAAAGGTACCTGCAAGGGTAAAAACAAAACAAAAACAGAACTCTTTATCTCCTTGTTTTGACAATTAAAAAAAAATGCCCAGTAATTTTCTTTTCTGTTTATTTGATCAAGAATGGGAATAAGTGAAGCAATAACAAAATGAAACAAGCAGAATTTAGCAGTTGAAGTTAATTTAATTTAGGGTAGATTAGGAACTTAAGTTACACTGACCCTCTTGCTGCTGGACGATGAGATATTTGTCATCGTTTTTCTACAAGGGAGACAGATCAGAGCAGCTGAGATCTACACTCCACATGCTAACTCTAGCACACAAATTTTTTATTCACTTTATGTTTTTTAACTGATGGTAAGTATTTTGTTTATTTTTTAAACATTATGCACATTGGCTGGTGCATCTATTTAACTGAAAAAAAATAAAAATAAATAAATAAAATAACAATAAGTCCTCGTTTAACGTTGCCCCCGACAACGTTGTTTTGTTATAACGTCACTACTCTTTAGATACCCATGATTCGGACAATGTCCCGCTGATTCGGTATAACATCGTCACGGACTACTTTGTACGGCGCATCACCCTCTCTCACCCAGTCAGAGCGGGAGGAGGAGCCACCCTCCGGGTCTCAGTGACTCACAACCCCCCCTCCTCTCCCGCCCTCCTCCTCTCCACTACCCACCACACACTTGCTCCACCTCCGCCCATCAGTAAGTACAATACAAAATGATTTAGTTTGTTAATCTTTTTGGATGTATAATATATACTATTTTCTATAAAAATTCCATTGAATTTCTGTATATGTAATGTATTTTATGGGGCAAAGGGTGACTGGGGAACATAACCCCTGTATTATATCTATTTCTTATGGGGAAAATTTATTCCGTTAACGTCGCGGTTTTCAGGAACGGACTTACTGTATGTATATCTATCCCAAATTACAAGTTGACAAATAACCATAGCATAACATATAGCTCGATGGATGAAAAAAGTTTTGTCATCTGGAAGTGAATGGTTGGAAAATTCCACACTTGGCCTGGTAATGAGAGAATTAAGTTAGATCACATTCCATTAGGTTTGATGAGGTTAGGCATAGTTAGTTTAAATTTGGCTAAGTTAGGTCAGGGTAGGGTAATATAGGGAGTATTGTAAAGACAAGGAAAAACAAAAAAATATAGTACACCACAATAAAGTAACCTACCTGAATTATCAGTCTGGGCAGCTGGCAAATAGATATTTTCAAATATATAGGTAACCATCTTATCCCAGAGTTTTTTAGAGAGGGCTTCTTCCCACTGTTTAGGCGAAACTTGTGACAGGTTTACCACCTCATCCAATATGTCACCTCGTGCCTTTTCAAATAATTCATCACGATCCAACTCCCGAGTTCTGTAAGAAACAAAGTAGCTTCAGAACATAATAAATAGTTGGTGTGTTTTAAAGTGCGTACTCCTTATTTTTCCTAATGAGTTAATCGATAATTAATTGGAGTTAATCAATTAATTTGATAAAATTTTGATAAAAGTAAGCAACCAGTATTTTAAAAGTTAACTAGTTAACTTAATCATACATTGTATAAGTTAATGAGTAAGTTAATTAATTTCCCCATGCCTGCTCACCACCATCATCACCACTCATCATCACCACTAACTTTCACCACCACCAACTGGTGTTTACAGGATAATGCGTTCAAACTGGGGTGACGGAGTGGCAGACTGAAGGCTAGAAGAATGAACAAAGTTGCTGTACATGTTATTAACATGTACTGTACTGGCTGGTTGTAAGTGGTGCTGGTGGGGGGTGGATGCATAATAATGACTGCTACACTGCCAGGCACAAGTGAACAGCTGACTTGTATGTACTGTATATTATGGATTTTTACAGGAAAAAAAAATAGCTCGGGTCACAAATATTCACTCGTCATGTGATGTCATAATTCCGGTTATCTACTGTACATCTTCTTGCTTGGCAGTTCCATTGAAAAGTTGACAATTTGACACCTACTGACCAGAGGTGGGTGCTAATGTAGAGATAAATAACCTGCACCTGATACAGGTCACTAATCCTGGTATACTGGTGACAAGCAGCCTGTTTAAGTGTTATACCATGAGCCAGGAATGTGTACGAGTTGACATTCGACCTGACGTTATTTAGTCTAACATGATGCCCAGACCCCCTGGATCCGCCACTGGTATATCTCTATCTTGTATATTTACAGTAAAGAAATTGTTGTGCATAGTACACAAAACAGTATGTAACATCAAGTGCTGCACCGTCAGATTTCACTACTCAACGCCAACCCTCTCAGATATCACACTGCATTTTGCTGGTCGGGTGTGTTCACATCTCTCAGTAGTTGATAACAATATGTTACCTTGTTGCCCTGTCCCCGTATTAATGGTTCTGGTATACGAGTATACTGTAGCTGCTGTATATTTAAAGATTACATATTATAATTCTTTTAAGCAAAGCAATTGAGTCGATGTATTCACCTTGGAAAATTGTTCTTCCATTCTGTTTCAAGGTTAAAGCGTGTGGCTTTAAAAGCATCTGCCTGTTGCTCGACTGTGTCTCGTACCATCTTCCAGAAACATTCTGAGACTGCAAAACTCAAGTTCCTTGTTGTGCACTGGTGACTGTTGATCACACCACCTCTGCCAAGTGGAAAGGATAAAACTAATTTTCTTGCTATTACAGGACATTATTCCTACCAAATGGATGGCATTATGTACACTATGCCTTAAAATAAATTAAAATATATATATTAGTCTGTCAGTTTAAAGGAGCAGCACACATTTTTGGGAATACACAATATGTTTTACAAGACATTCACAATCTATATTGTACTATCAACTCAAAATTTGCATTATAAAAAATTAAACAATTAATATTTATTAACTTACTTAAAAATTCTGGAGCTCCTAAAGAAGGATTCCTCATAATCTTTAATAGCTTGTATTGAGTCCTCCTTATTGCCTCTGCCTGTGACCACAGCAAAGTACCCCAGTGCTCGCATTGGAAATAGTTTACCCGAGAGAATCTTTCTTATCTGGAAATATATTAAATTTTTATATACGAATATACAGTACAAACACACACACACACACACACACACACACACTAAAATAAATAAATCAATGATACGAAATAAAATTTAGACCAAATCATTTCAATAGTCATGTGTGTTCACTTGGTACCTCCAAAAATAAGAGCCACCAATGGAATGGCTCATCCCCTTCCTTTCTGCCCACGCAAAATTAACTTGATATGTTGCATTTTAAGAGTTGAGATAGTATGTTAAGTGTGTACAAATACATATGTAAAAAATTTTCTCACCCATGCACCCAATACAATTTCAATAATACAGTACAGTAAAAGTCCAAAAATCCGGATGCCAGAAATCCGGACCACCCGAGAATCCGGACTTTTCAAAAACGATTTTTTTTTTTAGCGGGCATTTGTGTGCATGTGCGCATGCGTGAGCGCCACAGCTGCACAGCGACAACAAGCGACCACGTGGTCGCCACTTTAAAATGGGCAATCAAACTGTGACAACATACCGTATATACTCGCCTATAACCACCCCTCGTTATCAGTCGACCCTGATTTTTTGACCAAGAAATCGTTAATTTATGATATTCCTCGTTTATAGTTCCACCCACGTTTTTGAGGGTAATGGAACAACATAACCACTAAAAATGCTCTACGTCCTATAAACTGAGGCTCGCCGTGCATGAAACACAAGTGCTGAAGGCAAATTGTTTACCATTTATTATTACGACACTTTACACTGAAACCCGGGTAGTTTCAACAAAAATATTGTATATTTCCATTCAAGTATTTATTCACGTCAATTAGGAGGGAATATTATTGAAATACAACAGTTTTTAAACTAAACCATTCGAAAAGCGATTACGGTAACATCTTTTGAACGAAAGAAAGCGAAAGTCATTGTTTTCGTCATGATTTTATCCCACTTTCCACTGTAATACGTATGTAATTTCAGGAAAAATATTACATTTCCGTGAATGTATTATATCAAGCACAGTATGAATAGAATATCATTGTAATATATCAGAATTTTAACCGAAAACTATTAAAAAAACGAGTAACATCTCAAGAACATCAGAAGCTTAGGTAAAGTCTTTTGTTTTCGTCATGTATTTTATCCTATTTTACATTGAAATACGTCACGTTTCCACAAAACTACTATTTATCTACGAGAATATATTCATTCAGGCGCAGTTTAGGTAAAATAGACGAGTGATGTAATAGTTTTTTAACTGAAAACGATTCGAAAAACACGTACCCTCTAGCCCTGTTCAAAGAGAGGACTGGGAGAAGCTGTTTGGTGCTGCAGACGATGACAAGGAAAATTATTTTGATGGATTTTAATGAAAGTATTCAGAAATATGGTATCGTAGTATTTATTCAAGTCAATTAGGATAGAATATTATTGTAATACAATAGTTTTTGAACTGAAAACCATTCGAAAAGCGATTACGGTAACATCTTTTGAACGAAAGAAAGCGAAAGTCATTGTTTTCATCACAATTTTATCCCACTTTCCACTGTAATACGTACGTTCAGCAAAAATATTACATTTACGTGAATGCATTATATCAAGCACAGTATGAATAGAATACCATTGTAATATAACAATATTTTGAGTCCTACTCTTTCCATTTACAGAGTACTGTACAAGCCCATAATAATGGCTCCTAAAGTAGATAAACTTCGTTGTGTGAAGAGAAAGAAGAACACATTGAAATTGAGTGACAAACTTGAAATAATTAAAAAACTAGAACGTGGTGTGAGCAATACTGTTCTAATGGAAACATACGACATTGGAAAGTCTACAATTTATGATATATAAAAGGCAAAGAATAAAATTTAGAATTCACAGCTTTTTCATTAAAACTGCTCGTTTTGATAAATAAAGCATGCTATATTTGCAAATGAATAAACTATCAAAATGTACCTGTTCATCTCTTCTTTATTCTTCATTAAATTTGAATTTTAAAAGTACTGCCTGAGAATCCGGAAAATCCGAAAATCCGGACCGACCCAATCCCCAAGCAGTCCGGATTTTTGGACTTCTACTGTATTACAGAAAAATAAAGATAGACAGCACCATGGCAATATTCCCCAAATTGTTAAAGTCAGGGTTTTTAAAACACTTGTCCCTGGCTGCCATGTGGGCTAGTTATTACATTACATGGCCGTAAAATGGTGATGTTGATGATGACGTATCCTTGAAACAAAGTGGAATAATTAAAAGTATTAATTATCCAAATACAGTACATTACATACATAGGTATAAGGAAACCTGATAAACTCAACAGCAATTTGAATTCTACAGAACTCAATTCACTTTTTTTATTTTATTTTTTTTTACAATACAGTGGTCCCTCGGTTAACGAGCACAATCTGTTCTAGAAGGTTGCTCATTAACCGAAAAACTCGTTAACCGAAACCATTGTTTCAATGGGTTTTTGGGTAATTGGTTCCAGCTCACCGAAAATTGCCTAAATTCAACAAAAAATGTAGAAAAGTTCACTTACTTTGAGGTGTGTATGTAGAAGGCTCCTGGATGATGATGATGATGATGATGATGATGATGATGATGATGATGATGATGATGATGATGATGCTGATGATGACGATGATGGGAATTAGAATGGGGGTGGAGGAGAAGCGAGAAGAGAAGGCATTGGGTGGAAGAGAAGTCACCCCATGGCACCATTTCACCCATAAAATTTTAGTTCTCTTGGTGTAATTCAAGATTATTTTCTTTAAATCAACACTGCACTGCATTATATATTGTCAATATGTAAAATAAATTTCAAAATGACCAATAATTTGCTTGTAAACACAGAAAAAAGCATTTAGTTGAAGAGAGTCTCAAGCAAGATGTTACCTCCACTGAAAAGACACAAAGACTGACACCTGTATGGTGTGTTGAGAGGCTGGATGGCGCGCATAAAACTAATCACTTTACCTTCACTTATGTTCAATAATTGTTAAAATGACTAAAAAATTTAATATTAAACTTTTAAAATTATTGAATAGTATAAACTTCTTGATATTTACTAAAATAGTAAGGAATTTAAGCCCTAGAACCGATTACTGTATTGGCGGACTAATACTACAGCTGGTTGACCGCCAAGTGCAAGTGAAAACTTGTTGAGGTCGGCTCGTAAGAAACTTGTTAACCGAGGGATTGCTCGTTAACCGAAGTTAAGACTCTTATGGGAGGTAACTCGTTAACCAAAATCTCGTTAACCGAGGAGCTCGTTAACAGAGGGATCACTGTATTGCAATTATCTATTTGAGTGATGCAAGACAGTATGCTCTCGAGTCTGAGGGGCAATACAGTAATATCTCTGTTAGCCAGAATCCCTCAAACCCGGAACTCTCCGATAGCCGGAATTAAAATTTTCCGAGGAGCACATTTTCCAGAAAATCCCAAGAAAATTTTCACGATACCCAAAAAATTCCAGGAAAGAGGTTTTTTTTTTTCCGGGTTTGAGAGGTGTAAATGAGGCTCATTTTCTGGAAATTCAGAGAAAAATTTTCCATTACAGTCGACCCTCGTTAATTCGGACCCCTTTAATCCGGATTTCGGATAATTCAGACGAAATCTGAACTGTCCATATCAAATTTCTGGTTCTGGGATTGTCCCAGTTGCAATTGGGGTTGCAATTTCAAATTCTGTGTCACTTCTAAGGAACAATGAAGTCTCTGGTGCACTCTAAGATTAAGAGAAAGCAGACGACTCAGGCGTCCTGAAGTGAGAGAAAACGGACTCCTATGACGGGGCACTCAAATAAACATACACATAGCTGTATAATGCAATATTATGCAATATTAACCCCTAAATCAGTTAATTCGGACAATCGGCTAAAACGGACACCCTTCCCCCCTATTAGTCCGAATTAACGAGGGTTGACTGTACCCAGAAAATTCCGGGGAAGAGGAATTTTTTTTCCGGGTTCGAGAGATGATGTAATGGTAAATTTCTGGAACTTCCGAGGAAAAATTTTCTGTTACCCGGAAAATTCCAGCACATTTCGGGGATGAGGGATTTTTTTCCAGCTTTGAGTCGTCTCGTTACCCAGAAATCTCTCATTCCCGGAAGTACTCTGCACCAATTGTTCCGGCTAACGGAGATATCACTGTACTGTACTGTACTACTGAAAAAGTGCCTTTTGACAATCACCCTAATCTTAACTACAGGTAGTACACCATGGATAAGAATGATAAAAAATACTATTGCAGTATTATTAATCTACACTTTCCAAGTGATATTTCCATGATTGTATTGGTGTAGTTGTATACTAAGGGGTTGGTATATGTCCTTCATTTACAGAGCAATAGGTTGATGCAAAGATATAAAAATGAGAGATATTTATATGAAAGATAAGGAGGTTTAACTCCATATGCATGGGGTCCCCTCTGTGCTGAATAAAAAGAGTCTGGCCAAGTATAATATTAAAAGTGGCATCCCCACAGTGAAGGGGTTAGTGGAGATAGTCTACTAACCCCTTGAGTATGGGGTCCCCTCTGAGCTGAATAAAATAGTTTGACGTAAGCCAAGTAAAATATTAAAAGTGGCGTCCCCAGAGTGAAGGGGTTAACTACGGGGACTTGTTCAGAGTGATGAGTTGCATGATATGAAATGACATATGTTGTGACTCATCATCATCATCAACATTCTATGGCCATTTTCCATGCTCGCATGGGTTAGCCACAATTACCTGATGGCAGCTGCTGGGTAAAACCAAAACAGGCTGCCCCCACATCTCACCACTGCAAACCCAGGGTGCCAGCCTAGAAAATGCTTTGCTCTGGTGATCTGGTTGCCATCATGCATGTTAAAGCAGTGTTACGGAAGGACGCCTTTCCTAATGCCAACCCACAAGGCGAGAACAGCTTGTTAGGCAGGGTTGCAACTCCCTGAGATAATCAAAGACTACCCTGGGATTGAAAAATCAGATGAATGATTTGACAATGACAAATGGTGATAGAAAAGAAAATGTAAATACTGTAGAAGGATTGTGGTATTTGTTTTATATGAAGGGGAGGCAAGGAGGAAGTGAAGGACCAGTCATTGATAAGGTTAATATCTTTAGATTGCATTTTTTCTTAAATAAAGATAAGTTGGGCTATGAACTGCCACCCCATATTTGAGGGCAAAATTTCATATGATGGTGGACATGGCTGTTGTGGACTAACAAGTGCTGTGAAGTGGCAAAGAAAGGACAAGCTTAAAAAGGATTATCATAGTTTCGTTTTTAAACATTCTCTGCAATGTTAGAAATGCGATAGTTCTAGGATAGGTTACTTGATTAAGTAAGATAAAGGATATTGACAATGAGGACTGATATAATGGAGATGTTACTGAATGAAATTGCGGAGCTATTAACAATCTTTAGTGTTAAAGACTAATACAAATTTGTGTTTTGGTGACATTGAATGTAACAGGAACATTTGTGCTCCATTGTGATTTGGATTCAAGATCCATTTTCAAGACAGTTGTAATATTTATGTGGTCTACTGCATGCAGAAAAGGGTGGTTGGCACTAGTTAAATAACACATAACATATGTCTCATGTACTCTCCCAAAATCAATAATTAGTTCAAAATTAACAGCTATAATCATGTCCTTATACATTATAATATTATCTTCCTATTTATTAGCTTTTTGCCTATTCCTCTTTTGTGATAAAGGGATATAGAGACATCAGAGAAAGGAGAGAAGTAATAGGGAAAAATAATGGAAGAAAGGAGAGGATTACAATGACAAGTAGAAACACGTAAATATCCTTCGTAATATCCTCAACTAGCATATATGTACAGTTTACATGATAAAAAAAAATGGATCACTTACTCTGTCTGGATTGGTAAGATTCTCTTCAGCAAGATCAACCTTTGTCAGCACAAAAATGGTTCTCTTGCCCTGAGGATCCATCTGGCTGACAAGATCTGTGACGTTGGAACGCTCAGCATCCACAGACCCATCTTGAATGCACAATATGATGGCGTTGGGGTTGGACATATACTGTTGTGATATTGAACGGATGGCTTCCCTGGTGTCTGTTGCCATGTCCGTTGTTACCGTCTGAAAGAGGTCCCAAAATGTCAGAAACAAGGTCCTAAAATGTCAGAAACAAGCAGTGGTGGGCACAGCTAAACAAAAAGTTAGCTTCGCTAATCCGCTAACTAAAAAGTTAACTTCGCTAACGCTAAACCGTCAAACAGCTAAAAAAATTAGCGGAAGCTAACACTAACCACAACTTTTATTATATGAATTTAGCTTCTTCTTTTTTGGGGGGGGACTCTAAAACCCTTAAAAACAGACCTAGAGAGCAGAAATTTTCATATGTTGTAGCTTAAACATAGAACTTTCCAAAAAGGTATCGCATGCCAAGATCAGATGATGATCAAGGTGTACACAAATAATTAAATGAACAAATGAAATTAAACATTAGTTTACATTCAAGTTTCAACATACACTTTATAATCTTTATTTACTGTACAAAAAGACAGAAAGTATTAAACGAATCCAAAAACTAGAGTACTGTATAGCATAGGTAGCAAATAGCATCATGCCAAGATCAGATGATGATCAACTTATCAAGGTGTACACTGTGCACAATTTCACAAATAATTAATTTGCATTCTCATACAACCTATTGGCCTTATTCATTATTCATGTAAATATGCAATGCCAACCACATACACATTATACCAGTGCATTTTTATATAACTTATTGTTGGTCTGAGTCATGTAAATAAACAGAAGACTCTAAACTTTAATGAAATGTAAGTTTTTAGAAAATTTTGTTTGGCGCATACTATGGATGACATCCTGGTTATGAACTTATGCAGTACTTAGCATAACCAAATATATTGACACAAAAAAATCCTTATTAAATTAACAAATAAATGAGAAATGAAATTATACATTAGTTTACAATTACATTCTATGATTCTTTCAACATACTGTACACTGACTCCGGTTGCAGTGGCTGGGCCTTCTCCATCACCTTGACGTGATGCTGGTTGCCCTTCATAAACATCAGCCTCTCAAAGTTGCCATCTGACAGGGTGGCTCTCTTGGCTCTCAAAGTATCTTTGCACGTACTAACATGCAGTCAGCCAAGCGTGCCTGACTGGCTGTTGGAGACACGCGTCGCGGCGTCACACGTTTACAACAGACAGGAACAAACATGTATAAATTTTGTTAGCGGAACTAAATTTAGCAGAAGCTAATTGGTCCGCTAATGGTTTCCAAAGTTAGCGAAAACGCTAATCCGCTAACGAGAAAGTTAGCTTCGTTAATTAGCTGTTAGCGGAACCGTGTCCACCACTGGAAACAAGGTCCTAAAATTTCAGGAAACAAGGTCATAAAATGTCAGAAATAAGGTCATAAAATGTCAGAAATAAGGTCCTAAAATGTCAGAAATAAGGTCCTAAAATGTCAGAAATAAGGTCCTAAAATGTCAGAAACAAGGTCCTAAAATGTCAGAAACAAGGTCCTAAAATGTCAGAAAATGTCCTTAAAATATCCCAAAAATGTCCTAAAATATAAAAAATAAGGTAGAGTACAAACAAAAAGACAGATGTAAGATCCTACTAATAAGTTGGCAACAAAATCCCAATAAAGCTTTGAAAGTTAGGCACATGGCCCCATAAATTAACAACAAGGCCATCATAATCAGACAGCGGACCAACATGTCACTGATTCTCTCAAAGAGATCGATCACCTAGTGCTGGCTTACACCTAACGTACATTTCTAACCTTGCTACATTCTACAAATTTTATCTTCTTCCATTAAATTTTGCTCTCTTTCTAAATACAATTTATGATAGAACTAAATCTTACATTGTGTAAAATAAAATACATTTACTATTGTTTCATTACATCTTATTCCTTAATTAAAATTTTCAGAAATTTTTTTAATGTAAACCTTGCCTAGATAACAAAATTCAACTAACATTTAGCTTATGTATTCAAAAGTTGCACTCAGATAGTTGTACATATTAAACAAACTCAAGACACTTACACTGATAATCCCAGGAAGATCAACAAGGACCATCCGTTGAAGCCCTGGGCCCTTTACAGTCATGGATATTACCTCATGGCTGACTGTTCGTCCTGATCTTACACTATTACGCATCCTCAATTCAACCTGAAATTAATGATACTGTACAGTACAGTCGACCCTCGTTAAAACGGACTAATAGGGGGGGAAGGGTGTCCGTTTTAGCCGATTGTCCGAATTAACCAATTTAGGGGTTAATATTGCATAATATTGCATTATACAGCTATGTGTATGTTTATTTGAGTTCCCCGTCATAGGAGTCCGTTTTCTCTCACTTCAGGATGCCTGAGTCATCTGTTTTCTCTTAATCTTAGAGTGCAGTACACCAGTGATGTCTTTATTTCTTAGTAATGACACAGAATTTGAAATTGCAACTGGGGTTGCAATTGTTGAGGCAACTTAGGTATGTCTGATTACAGTTGGAATATTTAAGATCCATTGTGAGTGATGTTTAAAGCTTCAACTGTCTTTATGGTTGGTAAAACTTGTCTAGTCTGTCAGTCTGAATGGCATGTGTGAGGCCTTGTGTTTGTACAACCGCTAAATAAATAAATATATAATGTTATGGTAATTATCAGAAACACATAGGCATGACGAGGTTTATTACAAAGTGATGAAAAGGATACTGTAAAGTGGGTAGTCCACAAAACATGTAGCTATGTCTCTCTTTATTTCAGTGCCCCGTCAAAGAAGTCCGTTTTCTCTCACTTCAGGACTCCTGAGTCGTATGTTTTCTCTTAATCTTAGAGTGCAGTACACCAGTGACTTCTTTATTTCTTAGTAATGACACAGAATTTGAAATTGTAACCCCAATTGCAACTGGGACAATCCCAGAACCAGAAATTTGATATGGACAGTTCAGATTTCGTCCGATTTATCCGAAATCCGGATTAAAGGGGTCCGAATTAACGAGGGTCGACTGTATATCTGTTTGGCATAGCTTTAAACGTAACTTTTATCAAAGGATTTTTAGACAACAAGCAGTAAACCCCTGTTAAAAATGTGATTTGCATCAAATCAACAAACATACATTAGTTTTATTCATTGCAATGTCACCTCCATGATAACACATTTCCTCACCCAAAATTCATGTTTGCATTCTCCAGTTAAGTGTCCTGACATCACCATATTTGTGGATCTAGCAACTATATCATAGTGTATAAATACAATGATGTTTTCTTTCAAGAAATCTTACTCTTATTAAATTTCAATGACAATACTCTATTGTCTTGGGCAAAGTATTACAGATACTCTGTAGTAGGGTCACAGTGTAAATACACTTACAAAAATATAGGGAGCTCCTTGCTGACAATAAACTCATTCCACGTTATGGCAATTGATGCATTATGTTATTGCTAATCACCACATACAGAAAAATACCTGTTACATGACTTCCATGACCATGACATTCATCAGTTACTCAAACTACTGTACAGTAGACAGTTACCTGGTAGGAATGTTATTACAGTATTATACTGTGCAGTACAGTGAAGCAGTAATGTAGTCATAACAGAATCATAAACTAGATGACGGCCAAAGATGGGAAATAAGACAATCACCAAAGCAGCACATTCATGAATTGGATTGGGTGATACCAGTCTCTCACCCATTGGAGATTTTGGAGGAAAATTACCATCCCCAACAATGAAGATCTATTATTCCTAGTGAGGCTCACTCCTTTCACCACCACATCTACCTTATCCAGGGAAGCCCCTAACATTATATCTTCATTAACCATCTCCAAAAACCTGAACAATTGATGAATTCTCTCACCTCCTTTCGTAATTCTGCCAGTTCCGATTCTTTTGTGAGATCAAACTCCCGAGTAGAGTCCTTGAAAGAGGCGATGTGGTATGGTCCCTCGCTTAAAGTCACCATGACCGGCGCTCGAGTCATCATCTCCCCAGCACCTCGAGGGAATATTCTTGCCTGATGTACAGATTACACATGAATTTCTTAAATATGCATTTAAATGTCTAATTGCTTTTAAACATACAGTATATGCAATATCTCCAATAAAAATAATTCTTGATCATTTTAAAACTTTTATATCTATCAAACACGATCATTTCCATTAAATGACTTATCATGAAAGAGCAGACTTGATATTAAAAATCTTACTTGGGCTACCATTTCCAGAACAGAGGTCTTGCCAGAGCTCTGGTCCCCCACAACCACCACCCTAGGCAGATGATCTTGTGTGTCATAACTGCTGTCATAGTCACACAACTCATCTAACACCTCACTATACATGTCAATAAGAGACTTTTTTATCTTTTTACGTGCTGCGGTGTCTCCAGCCTTCAGCATGAGTGACTTGCGCAGCTCCTTGTTCTCTTTTTCAAGGCGTTCCACCTCCTTCTGGTACTTCAGCTGCACCTGCATTAGTTCCTCTTGCAGACCCTCGTATTTTTCACTAATTGTTTCTGTCATAAAATACAACTTAGTGACACTAACAAAATGTAACTTACAAAAGAAATGCAAATGCAACCCACATTAAAAGAAGGAAATTTTATGTGGATTTGATTTACAAACTTGATATTCACATTAAATGTGAATCCTACAAGTACAATAGAAATGTGTTTTTTGTGTGAGATCAAAGTATGACCTTTAATAGGTAGTTTTTTAAGGAAAAAGCTGAGATTTCAGAGGCAAATTTAGGTACTGGATACAATTAACACATGACAAAATAGTTAACAAAAAGACAGTAAGAATGACAAAAATTAATATTGAAAAATGAAGTTTGTGAAAGATAGTCAAGAGCCAGTAGTATGTTACTGAAACTGTGTATAGTATTGTTTTACATAGATAGCCATCTTCATCAACAACTAATAAGCAAAATCCACCTTTCAAGCAAAGGTCAATACATAATACAGTAATCTATAATAAGCACCTGTAGATACACACACTTCATTACTGTTAGGTACTAAAACACAACATTCAGAACTTTTGTTAGGGCATTCTACAAGTTGACTTGGCCATAATGAAACACAAGCATTCAAGTTTTCTAGTACAGTACAAGTACAGTATTGTGATATAAAAGACTAGGTCACACAATTTTTCTATTTCTACTACCTGTACTGTAATCATTTTACTCCTGTCCTGTCACTTTCTACACTTGCTTTGAACCACTCCCTTTAAAGTTTATGTGTACCATGATCCACCCCACACAAATGTGAGAGAGAAGTAAAGATAACCGATACAAAATTAGAGTGAGATGGTCTGCCAAATGACTCCACCTCTTAACTGATTTTACTAAACAGTGGGAATGATGTGATCACTATCCAGTTTCCATGCCATCTGAAAATGGATCTGCTCAACCCTGAAATAAAGAGTCTAGTTTATTAATAAAAATACCCTGTACAAGAATTAGCCAAAGACTGACCCACGACAATGAAAGACAAAAAGGAACAAAGCTATTGCCTCTCCTCAAACATGACACTCAGATGCCCTTCTGCCTGATGTCAAAGTCAAGCGAAATGCTGTTTTCACGGCATCATGCAAATGTTCCCATGCTGTCCAAAAATTTCAGGACCAGCTCAAGGGACCTACAAATTGAGAGCAATAATCAGAATACCTGTATTACCTATATGTATAGGTGGATATTGGATGATTTATCATGAAACCCCTTTTTAAAACCAAGCCTGGATTCGGCATCTAAGTATAACAAGCAAGTCCATAAGTTCAAAACTTGTCTCAGAGTCCAACCTGCTACGGAGTACAGGGATCTAAAAATCTTACAAATTCAGTATTTAGCTTATATTTTACTATCATATAGGACTCCTGAAAGATAATCACTTAGTAAGGAGGCCAGAGAAAGAGAGGAACGAAGTATCAATAAATGAAGTATCATTACTTCTTTACTTTACTTAAACAATTGTGTATGGGGTTCCTTTGCTGAATAAAATTATCTGGTGTTAGCCAAATAAAATAATAATAGTGGCATTCCCGTAGTGAAGGCATTATGGGAGATAGTCTACCAACCACACGTATATGGGCTTCCCTCTCTGCTTGATAAAATCATTTGGTATTAGCAAAATGAAACATTACAGGTGGTATCCCTGTTGTGAAGGGGTTCATCTTTTCAGTAATGTTCAAATACTGTCATAATTTTATAAAATCCAGTAAATGTGCAAAACTGAGCAATATTTGGGTTACAATTCAACCATATACAGTACAGTATGTAAATATAATTTCAAGGGAGTTCATTTTTACTTAGTGTACATACTTTGGTACTTTTAAAAGTACAGTGAGTTCTGCTATAACGCATGTTTTGATAACGCGAATTTGCTCTAACGCGATTTATGAATTAGGAACGATATTTGTATAACGAGAACGCTTGTTTGCTATAACGCGATTTTTGCTTAATATTTCTCCAATTTTGTGGTACAGTGGGCTATGCTATAACGAATCTAATTGGTTCTAGAACCTTGTTCGTTATAGCATTCGTTCGTTATAGGATTAATCTGTTCCAGGCCCCCAAATACAACCACTGAACACTGAAAAATATAATATAAAATTGTAAAAATTGTAAAAAAGTGCATAAATATGCATCTAAACCCCTGAAATAAAGAATATCATTAATATTTGTAATAAAAAAACAATAAATTAGAAAAAAAATAAATAAATAATGTTCGTTGTAGGAGTTTCGTTCGTTATAGCATTCTCAATTTTATAGGTAAAACCGTTCGTTATAGGAATATTCGAAGTAGGATCCGTTCGTTATAGCATACCCCACTGTATTAACTGTGAATATAGTAAAGAAGAATATCAACAAGAAGCGTTCTGGTGATAGAATTCCCGGTGATGATCGTAAAAGAAAGGATATAACACTTGAAGAGAAGCTAGATTTTATCAACCTCAAAATCACCCTTCTCCCCCATCAAGTAAAGTGTTACATTTACTGTATGATTTCATTATTAGATATGAATGTAACATTTACTTAGACTGTGCTATCCTTTGTGTTAGGCTAACTACTAAATTTTCTCGATTTCGAGTAATCTGCACCTAACCCTATTTTCTCCATAAGCCCTGTTATTTCTATTACGCGATTTTCTATAACACGATATTTTACAAGAACACAATTATCGCGTTATAGCAGAACTACCTGTATGGTAATTTATAATTTAATAAAAGTACAGTATTGTACTGTACTACTGTAGTTTTAAATGGGGGTAATTTTGCTTTTATTTAAGTAACTTCTTTTCTAGTAATAATACTTTTACTTAAGTAACTTTTATCATTACCTTGTCTACCCCTGCAAAAAGGGAGAAGGCTGTTCTGATTTATTGTTTTGTTTATAAAAATTGGCTTTGAAGGCCTTAAGTCATGAATAACAACTCCAGATTCAGCTCAACTCCCAGCTCAAATCAAGAAGAAATTGATAATGAGGTGCCTTATCCAAATTTGGTTTTAAAACAAAATCATCCATTTTTACCCTCATATTTTTATAAAACAAAACTGTATATTACTGGTATATCAAGCTAGAAAAGAAAGCTGGAGGTACAAATGAGCTCCAAATTACACTCTCCAGTGGCAGCAATGCTACCAAAGTGAATTAAATTAAGTTCTATAGCAATTCATAAACTAACAAGCCTTTAGCTCCCCATGACAATACAACTCAGGTAATGACTTAGTACAGTAACTGCTGCACACACAAGCACATGTCACTTATAAAAGTAAACATGACAACTCTGCTGCTTCACCCATGAAATGTGAGGTCCACAGTGCTCCTCACAGCACAGTAGGGGTGAGTGATTGTGTCTGCTGTGGAGCCTCAACAATTTGATTAAGTTTTCTATTTTCTTTTTTGTCAGTATGTTTTTAATTGAATATGTTTGTGATTACTTCACATATCAAGTAACAGGGCGATGACAGACACAATATGTAGCACTCTTTTAACTCTGTATCTATGCGTAATTTGCTTAAGAAGATGTGTTAAATACATGAAAGCACTTAACTGTGGCAGCACACTAGGCACTTTCCTCCAAACATGATTGGCAAACATGAAATGGCCAGCAAAACAAAGAGACGTTTTGCATCACAACGAGATGTTTTGTTGGCAAATTTACCCAAGGCAACGAAAGCAACAACAAAGTGCCTAGACGAGGATCGCCATGGATCCCGTTACTACAGTTGAGGCCTTGAAGGATTGTACTATAGTTCTTCAGTTGCTGATGCAAGTGAGGCATCTGCAAAAGCTATATAAAAGACAATGGGTGCATCGTGATGTTTCTTTAAAAGTGGCGGCAGCTGGCTGGTCAAAGAGACCCTGAACAATAATTTAATAAAACTGATTAAGTTTTAAGGTGATGAATAAATAGAAACATGTCACCTTTTATGTGTTATATTTTAAATTACCCCTGTACTATTGTTTCAAAGTTATTTAAATTTTTACTTGAAATTATATGAAGCTCATTTGAGCACTAATCCGGCTAGCAAAGATCCCCGCCAAACCGTTGTCCATTTTTGCAACAGCCGAAATCCTGCTGCTTGCTGGGCTGTCAGGCCACTGGCCAGCAAAATGGGCAATACGTTTGGAGGAAAGTGCCCAGTGAGCTGCCAAAGCAATACAGTATTGTAAAGTACTGTACTTTCATAAATGCACGAACAGAAAATACTGTATCACTTATAAAAATTAATTTACATTAAGGAAACCAGCATTCATTTTACTTTAGGAAGCAAACAGCCAATACGCTATAGTTAGTCTAACTCTATGCTACTGACCCTGTTGTACTAATGTTGATTGTACATCTGAATTTTCTTTGAGAAGTTTTGCCAATTCACTTTCAAGTAGAACTTTCCTTTGCTGCAGGTCTTTTTCAACATCAGCTTTGGGTAACAAGTGTATTAGTAATACTGTACTGCTCTTAACTATAAAACAGCAATCTGAAGCAGTTTAAAAACATTCATCTAAATTAGTATCACTTCAAAATCCCTACCAGTTATCTTCAGAACAAATTATTCATTATTCTTTAATGAAAGGCAGCTGCACAGATTACTCTATTACGAAAGTTTAATTCACACCTAAGCTAAGAACACTTATTTCATAAGTCTTTATAACTAGTATTGTACAATCAATCAAACAGTGGAACTTTGGTAATCCAGCCTCATCGGGACAAAGTGGTTTAAATTTTTTTAATTTTCTGGTTTTTGAAGTAATGGAGTGAACGGGGGATTAGAATGCCTGTTAAACTTCACTTAAATTTATCAGTGTTGAGTAACCTATAGAAATAAAAAACAAATCACTGTTGTAATTATCCCCAAATATCTACATTGTCTCTATTTTGGAAACATTATAACAGCAAAATACTTTGAATTCATAAATGTTGTACTGTATTCCATTTATTGGCTGGATTCTTGTCACTGCAAGTTCAAGGACAAAAAACAATGGCTGGACAGAAGTGTAGGCAACAACAGCACTGGACAAATGAGACAATGTGGAAATGCTACCAGGTGTTGAGAATTTTGGGCTTTGTTAGATATTATAAATTATAATATTTTGGAATAGTGCCAGTTTTTGGAGGATTCTGGAGTAAAGATTGCTACACTGTATTATCAAGGTTCCACTGTACTCACAAAATTTAGGGAAACAAAATATAAATATCTGAGAACTTTTTGAGCAAAATGAAATCCCTTAAACACAGCTAAACTTACAAGGAATGGAGAAACTACTGTAATTAATTTAATATTAAACTATGAGACTTCATCTTCTTCACATCTCCCTTAGTCATATTAGCATGCAACCCCCAGGCAAGAGTGTTAATTCAGGTTAAGTATAATAAGGATAGAGCAAGAGGACTAAATTTGTGTCTCAATGACTTGGTGTCCAGAGCATTGTCAGGTAAACTAAAAGCATGAAATGGACCACACAAGGTGTTTTAACCTAACCTATAACTGGTTACTCAAAACTTTCATTAGGCATGCAGAGAGGGGCATTACAGATAGAACTAAGGTGTTTTGAATTGTAGGAAGCAAGAAGGAAGAGTTTGAGAATGGTTAGTAAGGTATATAGATTAAGCATATAGAAAGGATGGCTTATAAAAGATGCATACACATACACAAAGAGCAAGTGATATTGGGAAGGGTATTAGGTACTTAATAACATACTGTACTATCAGTGCTTATAGCTAAGAACCACAATCCCCAAAGCTGGAAGTGACAATAAATATGAAAGAAAAGAAGAAAAACAAAATAATGACTGTGCCATTGTTCTGTTGGAATGGGGCTGAATTTAGGATCAAATATTGTGGTCAATAAGGGAGCAGGGCAATGTCATTGGTGTCAAATCATTCAATATGAGACTATGATTGGAATATGGGCAGAGGACTGTGGTCAATGCTGTATTGGAATGAGGCTTGTTTATGGGTGAAGGATTGTGTTCAATGTGGGAATGTGATTAAATATCCCCTCAAGTGAGCTTGGCATGGGAGAAAGGATGTTTTAGGCTGATGGAATTTGTCAAAGATTTACATTTCCAAGATCAAAGATACTAATACAGTACTGCACTATATTGATGTGAATGATACACTGTATACTGTACCTATATATCTACACAGACACTGTTACTCAGGGAGGTACAAATGTTTGAAAGTTTTAAATTTATCCAGAGTTAAAGAAGTATCACTAAAAATATGACTCATGATGACAGTATTTAAAAAAAAATCAGATAAAACTCATGTGGCAGGTCACTTATGGGAAGTCGTTTTAATGATAACTTTTTTTTTCTTCTAAATTCATTGTACTGTATTCTTATGTTATAATAGAGAGTATAGACTGACATTTACTGTATAATCTATATTATAACAAATGCTTTTTACTTATTTTGCTAATATGAAGAATCTTCCCAAAACACTTCTACACTAATCACCCCCACGCCAGTATCTTTGATCCCTGGAACTCTCCAATAGTCTTCCAAGAAAAAGCTCTCCATTCTGGGCATGGGAACAAGTGTCTGAGAATCGAATCATAAGCACTTCTGGAAAATTCCTAGAAAATCTCTCAGTTCTGAGCATGGGAACAAATTTCCAAGAGACAGCACCATGTTTCCGATGTGGGGACACGTTCCAAGCACGTAGGTGGGTAGGCTCAGAGTGCTTGTGAGCTATGATTAACCACAACTGTCATGTGACTGCATATGATGCATATGATTGGCTGATGTATCTCTTAGCCTATCATCTCAAACTCTTGCATAATGATACTCCTCGTTCATTGTCTACTATCATTATATGGGTTTGTTCGCTCGCTCACGGCTGTCTTTGCATACGATCTGTGTTGTGCAGTACTGTACATTACCAGCATATAATCAGCCAATAATACCCTTTAAAGCTGTGCTAAGACGTAATAAGTGATTACAGTTAGTGTTAGTTAGGTTTTAACACCCTATCGTGATTTATCTCAGGCAAACTCCACGTTAACATTAGTTGTAAGGAGGCTAAACTCACTGATGCAGAATGTAAACATTGGGGAAGTGCATCTCTCACTTTACTTGTCAAATCCAAGATGACCACTACGTGCAGAAACTGCCTTTCCATCCTGTGTACTACAGTCCCACACTTTGTTCTAACATGATCACTCCAGCCCTCACTCGTGTAACCAACGTTATTGTTATTTATCGTTGCATAACCTTGTGATTACTGATATATTTTCCATTTATTAGTGAGAGAAAACACTACCGTTCACATTTTGCTCTGTACTGTTGAGGGTGAAGTGATTAACTGTTAACTTGAAAATGGCTAGCAAGCATCTTGCGGAGTCTCTTACTTCTGGGATAACCAAAGCTTCAAGGAAGACTGTCTCTGGACATGTGATGCCCACCCACCCACACACCTACCTACACCCAAACATATGGTAGAAGTGATGACAGTATCATTAAGAAAATCTTGAGGAAAAAAGTACTAAAATATACACTTTAGCCTATGATATATAAAATTAGCAAAGTAGCATGAAAACATTACCATAAAGCATGATAGTTCAGTATGTAAGTGACAGCAGTACAGTAGAACCTCGGTAATCTGAATCTCCATAATGAGGTGTGTAAACATTCTAAATTGCAATAATATTAGGTCCATAAACAAATGTATTTCCTTTGAATTTACAGATAAACAATTACACGACGAAAACTAAAATGCCCTTGTGTTCAAATCTGAGTTTGGAAAATTCATTATCTACTGTATTCCAATAAAGCAGAAAAGTATTGTATTTTTGGTGTGCAGAATCATGTGGCATCATCATTTAAAAAAATACAGTACACATTTTTTCTATCTATCCATTGATTATCTTTACTCCTTTTTCATTTTTTTGTGGAGAGAATCAAAGACCACAGCAATACCTACTCAGAGTAAGGAAATAATATGGGACAAAATGTAGACAATGACATCAACTCAGATAAAAACAAATTCTCATATACTGTACTGTACACTTGTTGATGTCCTCTACTTACATACAGTATATGCATTACAGTACAGTATATTATAATGAATCCTTAACTTAAAGAGTAATTCACAACACTTCATATCAATTCACTTTGCACACCAAACTGAACCATAAAACTATAAACCCATAGACAATATATTTTTTCAACTACTGTACTGTATAGTATGAAAAGACCAAGACTTACAAACTTGCTACTGCTTCTGAATGAGACCACATATCTCAACATCTTGCAAATGTATGTTTCAGTTGCTATCTCTTGATTAGATTAATCATATATACATTGTCAGTACTGGGTTAAAGGGAATCTTGTTCTGCACTGCAGGGATTTCAAAGTTAAATAATTCATGCAACATGTAGAATGAATATCTAGTACAATATATAATATTTAAGAAGAGAAGATTCAAGATATCTTATATGGGTGTTTGGGATGGTGAAATAAAATGTAAGAGTGGAGATCTCAGAGTGATTAAGTATAATTAGGTAACAAAGGACAGATAGTAATGACTGAGTATAGAGTCACTGAAGGGAAGATTGAGTCGAGAGATCACACACACACACACACACACACACACACCCACACCCCACACACCCACACACACACACACCCCACCCACACACACACACCCCACCCACACCACACACCCCACCCCCCACACACACCCAAGATCAGGACCACTCTGCTATATGCTCATCAATGATGCCCTAAGAGAAACCCCTGCTCGCTGGAAATATGTCGACGACTCCACCATTGGGATCAGTGTCAACAATTCTGCTCCCGACTATACCGCCCTTCAGGATTTATTGAAGTCTCCAAAACTGGGCCACCAACATTCAACAACCATGTCACCATCAACCATACCAAGACCATGGTTATGCACATCAACCTCTCCTCCGACGTTGTCCCACCCCCTTCCATTACTTTAGGTCCCAACACACTCCAGGTTGTAGATTCCACGAAGCTTCTTGGCGTCACCATAGACAACAAACTAAATTGGACACCACACGTCAGTGAAGTTGTCAAATCCTCCAGTTTCCGTCTCCACCTCCTCCGCCGACTCAAGTCCTCGGAGTTCCTGCACGAGCTCCTCAGTGTTTACACAACATTCATACTTCCCAAGCTCACCTATGCCTCCCCCACCTGGTCTTCCTCCTAAATGCCACAACAACGTAAACCACCTAGTAAAAGTGCAAAAGAGGGCATGCAAGATTATTCTCTCCCCTTCCTACTCCACATATCAAGAAGCGCTAAACACACTGACCCTTTCGACTCTCACTGACCATCACCACAACCACATCTGCAAATTTGCTAAGAAGCTTCTACACCATCCTCGACACCGGCTCCTACTACCACCTGAGATCCCTAGCCCGAGAATTGCTGTTTGACACCACAACCGCATCCAGCCCATAAGTGCACGAACTGATCGCTATAAGAACAGCCCAGTCCCAACCATTGTAAAATTATCAATAACTTGTAATAAACCAGTGTATTCACTCCCAGTAAATACTACTTCTTGCACTGTCACTATGTTGAAATGAACTGTAGTTTGAGCTTTTCCCCATCTAGTTATTATATGTCTTATTTGTGTCACTTATGTTACTTGTATATTATTTGTAATTCGAAACCCATTCCCCAAATATGTAACTGTATATTTTCAGCCTTCTGGCTGCCAAGCTCTTTCAATAAACCGTTAATTATTATTATTATTATTATATATACAGTCAACCCTCACTTTACGCGGTCCCACATTCCGCGTTTCCACGTTTACGCGGTGCCCTGCCAGAACCCAGGATGCTCACATTCCGCGGTGGGTGTACCCCTTTACACGGTGAAGTATAATTTTTTTTAATTTAGCTCATAAAATTCATACAAATTATCCGGCCAGAATATAATTTACATTGCTGGAATTCTTACAATTTGATGATCATTTTTAATATAAACATCATAGATTTTGCATTAGACATACAAATTTTAGATATAATGTTTACTCTTGAGTAAATATGTTATCTTTTGTGCAAAATATATGATATTTATATTCAAAATATTCCTGGTCTTACAAGGAATCCAGCAATGTCAATTATATTATCCTAACTTTAGTCTGATTTATTATTTATTACTAAAAAGGTAAACAGTCTGGTATTCCCACACATTTATCTAGTAGGGACGTTGGTGGGGGTGGGGAGGAGGGAGGGAGGGACCGGCGACCGACCATCTGTTACCGTGTGAAGAATTTTTTTTTTTTATTAACTTAAGATTTTTATTTTAGCTCATAAAATTCATACAAATTACCAGGCCAGAATATAATTTGCATTGCTGGAATTCTTACAATTTGATGATCATTTTGAATATAAACATCATATATTTTGCATTAGACATACAAATTTTAGATAAAATGTTTTCTCGAGTAAATATGTTATCTTTTGTGCAAAATATATGAAATTTATATTCAAAATATTCCTGGTCTTACAAGGAATCCAGCAATGTCAATTATATTATCCTAACTTTAATCTGAGGTATTATTTAATACAAAATGTTAAAATTTATTTTTTTCACCCACTCTTCTCTTGAAGGGAGGAGTGGTGGGGGGAGGGTTGGGACTGACCGCGCGGTTGGAAGAGGGGGGAGGCAAGGTGGGGTACTTTGATTGACAGATAGTGTCGTGAAGAATATTTTTTTTTTATTAACTGAAGATATTTGTTTTAGCTCATAAAATTCATACAAATTACCCGGCCAGAATATAATTTACATTGCTGGAATTCTTACAATTTGGTGATCATTTTGAATATAAACATCATATATTTTGCATTAGACATAAAATTTTTAGATAAAATGTTTAATCTGAGTAAGTATGTTATCTTTTGTGAAAAATATATGACATTTATATTCAAAATATTCCTGGTCTTACAAGGAATCCAGCAATGTCAATTATATTATCCTAACTTTAGTTTGAGGTATTATTTATTACTATACCTGGTTTTCCCCCCAAAATTTCTCAGAGAGGGAAGAGCCAGGAAGTGTAGTGTGAGAGGGGGAGGGAGTTGAGTCCATTATTTGAATGGACATTAACTTGGGACTGTATTTCTCTATTTCTCTTAAGTATTAATTGTGTGCATGTACCATCATAAAATTAAGATGTTATTTTTACTACAACATAGTTATGTGTCGTCAAAAACTGGAGTTTGGGGATCGGCCTGGACTCCATTTCAATTAATCCCATATGTTATGTTATTCACTTTACGCGTTTCTCGCTTTCCGCGGTACCCTCCGGGTTACATTAACCGCGTAAAGTGAGGGTTAACTGTATATATATATATATATCTGTATATATATATATATATATATATATATATATATATATATATATATATATATATATATATATATATATATATATATATATATATATATATATATATATATATATATATTATGCTATTTTCTATAAAAATGGCATTGAATTTCTGTAAATGTAATGGATTTCATGGGGCAAAGGGAGGCTCAGGAAAGTAACTCCCATATTTTATCCATTTCTTATGGGGAAATTGATTCCGTTAACGTTGTTTCCGTTAACGTTGCGGTTTTCAGGAACAGAACCACGACGTTAAGCGAGGACTCACTGTAGTTTGCAAACAAAAGCCACAACAAACTCATGTTTTCGTAACAGAATCCACAGCCAATCTATATTTTGCAACAAGACACCACAGTCAATCTATATTTAGCAACAACACACCACAGCCAATCTATATTTTGTTACCAAACACCACAGCCAATCTATATTTTGCAACAACACACCACAGCCAATCTATATTTTGTTACCAAACACCACAGCCAATCTATATTTTGCAACAACACACCACAGCCAATCTATATTTTGTTACCAAACACCACAGCCAATCTATATTTTGCAACATCACACCACAGCCAATCTATATTTTGCAACAACACACCACAGCCAATCTATATTTTGTTACCAAACACCACAGCCAATCTATATTTTGCAACAACACACCACAGCCAATCTATATTTTGCAACAACACACCACAGCCAATCTATATTTTGTTACCAAACACCACAGCCAATCTATATTTTGCAACAACACACCACAGCCAATCTATATTTTGCAACAACACACCACAGCCAATCTATATTTTGTTACCAAACACCACAGCCAATCTATATTTTGCAACAACACACCACAGCCAATCTATATTTTGTTACCAAACACCACAGCCAATCTATATTTCATTACCAAATACCAAAGCCAATCTATATTTCATTAATAAACACTACAACCTATATATATTTCACAAAAGAAACCACAGTTAATCTATATTTTCCAACCAAACAGCACAGGAAATTTGTTTTGTGTTCTGGTACCAGACTTCACAGAAAATCTATGTTGTCAAATGACACCACTGTAGGCTTCCTTGCACCTCCCAGTCACTCATTTCACACCTAAATCTAACTTAATATCATCAATATTTTCATACCAATATATAAATTCAATCCAACTTAACAAACTTCTTTAGAGACGATTTGTTTTTAGGATACAGTATAGTATCTATTTGAACTCTACAAAAGCTCAGAGTAATTCTGGCAAAAAAGTGTACAAGGACTAAGACAAGGGACTGTTTCAGTTTTTAATCCTTAAGCCCCGGGTGACGTTGCAGAACGTTCACCTATTTTCCCGCCATTTTTGTATTTCTTATCATTTTTGGAAAAGTTGAATTTTTTCCCGATCCCTGCAGGGGAGGTTACTGCCAGCAGCACCTTAACCCTGGGCTTAAGGATTAATGGAGAAAACAAAACAAAACTGTATTTACATGTCCTTGATGTACAGCATATTAACTATATGTTAATTCAGATTGTCGAGGTTGTACAGTACTGTATTTGAGGAAATATGTGATGGTTTGCCCACAATAAATGTTGTGAAATTTATGTGGAATTTCAGGCTAATTCATACTACTGTACTAAATTCCAGAGGGTTAATTTGTAGGTACAAATCAATCACCAGTGCACAAGCCAATAAGCACCCCAATACTTGCATCCTTTGACAAAGAACTAACCATTGGCTTCAATTTTCTGTTTGAGATCAGCATTCTCACGAGTAAGATTGGAAAGTTCTTTGGTCAAATTTTCAGTCTTTTCCTGCAGTTCCACTTCAATTTGAGACAGTCTCAAGCGAAGAAGTTCTGCAAGGAGGTTTCACAATGGCCTAATGAAATTTCTAATAGGAATGAACCTTGTCAATACTAATTACTGTACAGTATTCCCATCAAATAAAATTTGCATAAAAAAATCCTTCAAGTCAAATAAATTGGTGTTCTAAGCACTTCATTAAAAAAAGGTTTGATAAAGATGGGCACATTATCTTAACAAGGTTTCCAATGCAGGTAAAGATTCTGTCCACATTTCAGTATCTACAGTACTGTATTATAAATTAAACTGACATAAACCATATACTATATACTAGACTTTATAATCTAAACAATAGTTAAAATGACAGTGGAGTGATAAAAACAAATATTAATGACCCTCTTTCTTTCTAATTTGACTTTGCTTATGTTGATGGCAGGCATGCACCTCCTACACATCTGCCTATTGGCTGACTGGACACACATTAACAAAAAAGAATGACCATGAATAGCTTGTCTGCAAATCTGTAGGCAAAGATGGTAATACACAGGGTTCAGGACAAGTCTGCTGCTTAAAGAAAAACCTAAAAACTTACCTTATGACTTACTGGGTTTAAAAATTGGACAACTGGTATGTCTCACATCACAAAATAACTTGTTTGCCCAACAATCTAGCTACAATTTTTTTCAGTTAACAGATATGCAATTATTGCTAAATTTACAAGAGTTACTACTTTGTAAATTAAATTCATTATCACAGTTTGAATTTAGGTTTAATTTTTTTTTGTCTTGGGATGATATTTTAGATTAGGTCTAAGTAAATTAAGAAAGGTAAGGTAAATTAAGGTTAAGTTAAGTTTATGCTAGATTACGTTCATGTTAGGTGGCAACAGGTAGATTTACCATCAAATATTTCAATCATCGACCATCTCCTCACCTTGAAGTCTTAAAGACTTTAGAAAAATTTTAATTTACTGAAGAGTTAAATAAACTAGTGATGCCATCACTACTAGCCTATCCTAAAAACACTGATAAATCTGAATGAATCTCCATGGCTGGGCTGGGTCCCAGTTGTTCACTACTGAGGAATGTAAACAAAAACCTACTAGACAGTTATCTCTTTGGTCACACACATGCACACCATTCATCTTTATCACTGCATAATAGCTTTTGTTGGTACGTGTCCAGTGTAGCATAAGGTGCCTTAGACAATTTCTTTCACTTGAACCAGATTTGAGAAAAAGTATTGATAAATGGAAGACTGAGTCTGAAATCTCTGTAACTGTTGGAGGCTGTAGCAAAGAGCCTCATCATTACAGGCAACCAATTGTAGCAATCTACATCCTTATACCATCCCTAATTATAAAGCTTGGGATGGTATACAGTACAGCACATAGTGGGAGAGTTGCATGTAACACCAAGGAACGATCAACTTTCTTATTAATCAAACAGGGGAAATTAGTTCTTTCCCAACAAACACTAACTATGCTGACTGCTCAGATATGAACAACAAAAGGTCTTCTGCCTCTTGGGGACAGTTGTTGCACCTGAACTCCTCTTTTTGGGATGATGAAAATGAATAGCGGATAGTTGTGTGAGGAGAGAAAATGCCACAGTTGGTAGTTTGTATTATGAGAAACTGCCTGGTAGATGGTGTCTGCCAGAAAAGGTAACTAAAATTGGTCTCAGTCAGCATATAAGTAACTTACACTGAATGAGCATATTGATAACTTAGAAGTGCATTTCTGATTCATGATTAGGTCAGTGTGGAAGCACTATCAGACTATGACACAAAAGTTAATCTGGTAATTGAAGCACATACATTGCCATGCCATAACATAGGGTAACGCAAAACTGCTTGCTTACATCAAATAAATTGGAAATAATTAAAAATTACCTAGAAACATATAAAAGTACCCAAAAAATAATTCATCAAATTTCATCATAAAATTCAATATTATTTACTACTTTCTTGAAGAGAGAGAGAGAAATGCTATTACTACTGTAGGGCAAACCTGGAGAAGTATTCATAGATTCAAACAGATATAATTTACAGTATCTTCTTTCAATAAATGCATTCCACTGCAATTATAATCATAATACATGTACAGTATATGTATATTTCAGTAGCTAGGTTTACCAAAAAGTGCACTGAATCTAACAAAAGTTCAATAATTACTCTTTCATCAATTTCAAAATACAAGTGTCATGAACAGTTACTTTATATACTGCCACTCAGCATGTTGCTTGTACAGTACAGTATTATGTTGTGTGTCATTTTTGCTTTAAAGAATATTCCAGACACAATCATGCACCAAGGCTCATATATTCTCAAGATTACCCAAAAATTTACAATATAGAAAATATGCTACAAAGATACCAAGACATATTAAGGGGTATCAAAACTTATCAATCCATTTTTAATATTATCACATAATATTTTTTACAAATACTGTACTATAACTGTACATTGCTTAGTACTTAATCAAGTAACAGTGTATATATTTCATGTAAGTACAGCATTACAAGTGAGTATAATTAAAGATGCAATGCATCACCAGTAAGTACAGTATCATGGTTTTAATAAAAATAATGGGTTTACCTGCTTTTTCCCGTTCTCGTTCTGCTGCAGATCCCATCGCAGAAAAAGAAATGGCATGTTGTTTCAGGTCTGAGGAGAAGTCTGAAAATAAAATACACATTCATGAGTAGGTTTTAGGCTTATTTTACTTGCATTTGCTATATCTACCAATCACTCTGTCATCTATTTGCCCATTAGCCATCCTTCATTAACATAATCAAACAGGGAGAAAGATATAATACAGTACAAAAAACTTTACAAGAAATTTATGGCAATTTACCATGAAGGTCCCCCAGAATATGTCCCCCCTCCTTAAGAGGTGAGTGTTAGAAACTTTCATGATGCTTTTGTAATAAATGCCTAAGAAGTGAAACTTTTGCTTCACAAACAAATATAGTGAAAATCATGTGATCCACAGACAATTACGAGGAAAAAATATTACAGATGATAGTGTGCAGAATGCAAGACCTATGGAAGCATCATATTATATACAAAAAAGTTAGTAAAATGACTCTGTGAGTATGGTTTTTGTGTTTATTCTACAGACATAACCAAGAATATGGCACAGCACTGAATTCAAAAGCTATTGTATATCTCAAGAAAACTCTTGAGGGTAATTTTCAAAACAAAATTGTTGCTGAAAACTCCCAAGCATTAAAATATAAACCATTTTCTTGGTAAAGTTCAGAACCAACAAAAGACAAGGAACCAAATGAAATTAATAGTAACGGTGTTCTGAGGGAAGGGAATGGCACTGTACTGTATCAGTCTTGTGTGACACCATTGAGTGTGTATTAGTTAATTAGTATATTTATAAATCTAAAGATAGTTTGGAATAAATATTTCAGTGAGTTAATCCCTTTCCTAGAATATGAAGCCAATACTTTCAAGTGGTAACTAGTCCTAGAAGTCTACCCAATACTTTGTAAATAGTACCCATATGGATTCCAGCATCTTGTATTCTACACACCTTTCACCAATGGTGTGGGAAATTTTGCCACCCCGGACAGGGTTAGGATCTCGCCTGGGGGTAAAATGAAAACAAAATGTAAAAAGTGAATGACATAAAATGAATGTGACTAGCAGGGTTGTCAATAAGATACTTCACAAAAGACAAATCATGGAGATCAACATGTCCACAGAACCAGAGCCACTTATGGCTACAATGGGTCAAAAACATTGTTTTAATGGGTGGACTTCAGTGGTGAGGCCCTCTTGAAAATTCTCAATTTTACCATTTTCGAGAATTATTAAATAAGTTACTTTTATCACTGTAAACTGTCACTTTAACCATTACTTTAGTGATATGATTGTGAGTAAAAAAAAATAATCCCACAAGAATTTTACCCAATGATCTCAATCAGCAACTGGCTTACTGACAACCCTGGACTAGTGGGATATACTACACTTTAGGACCAACAACAGCAAGCATTGTGACTCAGTGAAGACCAATAAGCTTCTTTTAAAAAAAAGACAATACAGTTCTGTATTTAGCTGTTATTTTTATACAATCAAGATTCAGTACAATGGGGCTGGACAACATGGGAAATTCGTTAATAGATTACAAGATAAAGAAAAAATATAGAGCGCCTTTGTGTACAAATGATAATTAGGAATAGAATGGTGAACCCAAGGGTGGAGTAATCAGAAGTAAATTTAGGAATAATGTAATGCCATCTTACTGAATATTGAGGAAAATTTAAATAATCCATCCTGATGACCTGATCATCACCCTATGTACGAGCACAAGTCTAAATGATATAGAATGATTGAAGATGAAAGAGTGAAAAGAAAGACAGAGTAATCCCTCTGTGGTACAGTATCTACAAACAAGGATATTACAGATACTGTACAAAACATGACAACAATATAAGGGAAAAAAGTTGCCTAAAAACAATGAAGTTCATCTTGCAAGTATATTTAGCCATAATATGCTTTCTTTTAGGGGAGGTGTCAAGGTGTCATTACCTAATCATTCACATGAAATCTGGTGACCGTGGCATCTTTGCATTACTGATAAACTATAGTTGCACTAAAAACTTATATTCCTATAAAATTCATCCAAGTTACCTCGTGTGTCAAGGAGCTAAAAATCATGTACAGAAATGATCACATCCATCATGTATGATAAGTAAAACATTTTGCATTAGTATGAACCCCCAAAACAGATCAGTGATTTATTTTTTCATGTAGAGTAAGGGATTAGATATTTTTAGGTAATCATTAAATGTACGAGTTGTCTGGTTATTGCAACAAGTTGTGTCCTTGTATTTCCTAAAAAAAACATCATATTTTCCAATTTCGCTGACCCATTTTAGCAGCTTTTTTCACCACCTCACTTCTGATTTCTTATTTAACTTTAATGCTTCTCATTCCTTCATATCCCAAACCTCTTTCTCATTGTTCCACTTAACAAGTGTTCAAAATGTTCTCCCAATCTCTCTTTTACTTCTTTTTGCAACTTTTCTCTTCATCAATCATCTGCTCTTCTTTTGTATTCCATTACCATTTTCTTTATTTCTCTATCAACCACTTTTGCAATTAAAATTTTATCACCACCACTCCTCTAGCAGTAAACTTTCAATACAATTATTCAGGTCTTCCTGAACCTGTCTCCTCATTTCTTTTCCCTAGAGCATGCGCACTCACATTAACCCATCACTCATATGCTATACTGTATATATAATCGGATCCATCATACTGTATTAAGAGTGACCCTCTTGTACAGTCCTACACAATAATCTCAGAACACTTGTGTGCAGATAGTGACAACCGGCATTTATTGTTGTGTTTACCACAAAATGTTGTGGAATTCTGTACATGAATCCAGGGTTTAGTAACTAAACAGTTCCTGCAACACACACCAAACTTTTATGCTCGTTATAATCTATCATTTAGAGGAAATCCTCAACAAACTTTTTATCTAGCATTGGTTAGGATTCCTATACATGTTTATGATGTTTTCTTGCATGGCACGTTATATGTTGTGCACATGTAAACTCAGATAGAGAGAATGGCAAGCTTATCAATGTCAGTCATGATGACTTCCAGCACATGGGATGTTTTCTTTTAAATTCTTTGTCAACAGAATATTACATTACCATCTTTTGACATTTTAATTCTTAATGCTTATCTTAAAAATTACTAAATTTAATCAATCTTTTAAGTTCCATTGGTATATAAATCAAAGTGATAGTGAAATTATTTTGTTGTAAACAGGTTCGGCAATGAGTGAATGAGGTGCCCTCTCCCTAACACCTACGCTAGAGTTGTCCACCCCAACATTATTACAATCACGTCTATATCCTGATACTGTATATTAATAAAGAGTAGGAATGTTATCTCATCATCTATCAAACAAATGATTACAAACATTGTGATTGCTAACTCCCGGTGCAAATCCATGTTAAAAACATACGCACACTCACATGTGCATGCCACACACATGTGCATGCCACACACATGTGCATGCTCACACACACACACACACACACAATGTTCTAACAACTCTAGATATGCCCCATATTTCTAGCTTTCTAAGTACAGTAAGTATCTGGGCTTTTTATTTAAGTTTAATTTAATGACTGCCATTCTGTCTGATGCTCCACAAAGCTTGTTCAGGATTTCCCTTACATGATAGACCATAATGAACTTAAGTGTTTGATGTGTTTTGCAGAACTGTTCAATCACTAAACCCCAGATTCATTCCCAGACTTTTATAACATTTTGTAGTAAACACAACAATAAATGCCAGGAGATGCTATCTGCACACAAGTGTCCTAATATTGTTGTGTAGGACTGTACTTCTTCATTAATTGTGGGATAACACAGTTTGCTTCTATTCTTGCAGAATCTTTTGACTTCACACCCTTTATTAACACAAAGTAACATGTTATTTACCGAGTAGTAATTTTCTTGAGATAAATGTATACTCTTTATCAGGTGCCTTCATGAGAGCTCCAGCCATGTCAATATTATGTTACCGGTACTCACTTTGTTTCGGTAATTTTCGGGTTAATCATACTGTTTAAATTTGAATTACAACAAACATTTGATGTATACTACTTCACTCCTTCATTACTGTCATCCATTATAAAACCTTATACTAAGGAGAAGTAATGTCAGGTATTTATTCCTCCAACAATCCTGAGGTTGATGTAGAAGTACTGGATGCAGGTAACCATAGAAAGCATGGTAGCAAAGTCAGGATCAAGATAGGTGCCAACTCAGTGATACCCACTGGACCCTCAGACTGACTCAGCAGGGCTACACTGAACCTCTCACTTCAACCATCTTTCTACGAGAGCATATTGCCTGCCATGGTGGAAATTATCTATATGGAAGGATCAGTTTCCAGATGAGAGAAATGGGGACTATATGGGTCTCCAAGTATGGGAAACACATAGAGGGAGGATAAGAAAAAATTAATAATCCATCTCAGCTCAATAACAAGGACACTTACTTGTACAAAAACAAAAATTTCACATAAATGCAGCAATACAGTTTTTTATTCTATTATGCATTGTAAATGTTAATAAGAATTTTTCTAGACACCAACCATTCAAGAGTAGACAGCGATATTACCAAGTACCAGTGCACTTTGAAAACCTACATGTTTGGTTGGCTCACACTGGAGAAGGGTGTCATCCAGCCTGACCCTACAAAACATTGTAGGTTTTCTCTGGGTACTCTTGCTTTCCACAAACTGACAGCCTGAATGGCTAGTTAGCTGATAGGTGGTGAAAATTATAATATAAAAAAAACATTTAGTAAATAAACTAAAAGATTGTTTCAATGACATGCAGTATTTATTCAATCCTATCTCTCTCTCCTTCAACCTAAACTAGTAATCAAACTCAGCTTAATTTGGTCTTTTCAACTCTCAAACTCTAACAGGGGCAGAAGGAAGCAAGCAAGTGTGCAATGACAAATGGCTGGAAAAGCAGTAGTAATCCATGACTGGCAAATTATAACTTATGTACTAATAAATACCCTCAAGATAATAAAATACTGCATATATGTCAGGAAATGATAGAAAGAAAGCAGTGTTTAAATGATGAGAAGACAGATAAGGCACAACAATAATAATAATAATAATAATAATAATAATAATAATAATAATAATAATAATAATAATGATAATAATAATAATAATAATAATAATAATAATAACAACAACAAAAATAGTCTTCCATGAGTGATGCAACTTAGATATCCCATAAACTTAGATAGGAAGGGGATTGTTAATAAAACAACATACCAAGAACTTCCTTACCATCGGAGAAGATGCCAGCACTGTCTGCCTTCTCTTCCTCAGCAGCCCTGATTGCATCATCCAGACGTTCTTTAAACCACAACATTAACTGGTCATAACGAGATTCACCGAGTTCTTTCAGTTTAGGGTCTGCAAATATAAAACACCTTATACTGTATGTACAGTGGGGTATGCTATAACGAATCTAATTGGTTCTAGAACCTTGTTCGTTATAGCATTCGTTCGGTATAGGATTAATCCGTTCCAGGCCCCCAAATACAACCACTTAACACTGAAAAATATAATATAAAATTGTAAAAATTGTAAAAAAGTGCATAAATATGCATCTAAACCCCTGAAATAAAAAATATCATTAATATTTGTAATAAAAAAACAATAAATTAAAAAAAAAAAATTAAATTAAATAATGTTCGTTGTAGGAGTTTCGTTCGTTATAGCATTCTCAATTTTATAGGTAAAACTGTTCATTATAGGAATATTCGTAGTAGGATCCGTTCGTTATAGCATACCCCACTGTACTTCATATAACTCCATTTCACTCTGGCTTTCATCCTATAATTGTCTCATCCAATGCACTGAAAGAAATTATGATCAAACTTTTCATAACGTGGTAAATAATTCTATGAGCAACATTCTGAATATCATAATCACCATAATAATAATAATGATAATCCTATGCCCTATACACAAATGGACAAGTCAGCTAGTGCTAAAAAATTTGCGACATACATAACCAATCTGAACTCTTTTATGGCAGTATATGAGGTATACTCTAGTAAGAAATTTATTCCAGATTTTCAATGCGAGTCGTTCACTAGGCTGAGACTCATGTCACAACCTCAGAGTAAAGACAGGAAGGTAGAGTCACACCCGTGCCCAGCTAGGAGTATGTCAGTGCGACGACAGTCATATATTGTACAAAATGAATGACACAAATTGCTTGAATGTCTGCTCCCTGCACACTGCAGTGATATGTATCACATGCTAACTTTAGCCTGCATCAATGAGTTCCTAAATGAAAATACAGTGTATGTGTGTCTGAATTATGTAATTATGTACAGTCCCCCCAAAAAGTATCATTGGTCATGGGTAGATGTGATTCGAAGCTTTCCGAGCAATGTTACTCGACCTGTTTCTAAACTGTTGGTAGTTTTACATGATTTGGAGTGCCAGTCATCAATGTGGAAGAGCTTGTGATGTCTCATGAGGAGGAACTTACTCCTGATGACTTGAAGCAACTGGATGAGATGTTACAGGTAGAGGCTGACAGTGGTGAGGAGGAAATTGAAAGTGATGACCATATATCAGCTAAACAGTTGAAAGATATGATTTACTACTGGGAGAAGTTCAGGGAACTGGCTTCAAAGCACTCAGATGTGGAAAAAAATGAACTAACTTTGTGTCATGTTGAGGACTCAGTGGTCTCCTTTTTTAAACATAAGTTAATGGTGAGGAGGAAAGATGCCTCACAGACCACAATTGACACTTTCTTCAGTAAAAGGCAGAGGGAACAAGATGCTATCCCTCAGCCTCCACTTCAAGGAGAGAGGATGTTCATGGTGGAGAATCTGTCAGTCCAGAGGTTCCTGACATTTTCATGGAAGGTGACTCACCTTCCAAGAAGCAGTAAAATGCTTCTCCTCCACCTCCACTTCCTTCTCTTCTCCCTTCTCCTCCTCCACCTCCCACTTCAAATTCACATCATCATCATCATCAAGGAGCCTTCTACATACACACCTCAAAGTAAGTGAACTTTTCTACTTTTTTTGTTGAATTTAGGCAATTTTCAGTGAGCTGCAACCAATTACCCAAAAACCCATTGAAACAATGGTTTCGGTTAATGAGCAACCTGCTGGAACGGATTGTGCTCGTTAACCAAGGGACCACTGCGTGTGTGTGTGAATTACACGAAAGCGCTTGGGAACTTTGTGTTTTCTTCTTTCCTTGTGGTTATCAGCATATATATATATATATATATATATATATATATATATATATATATATATATATATATATATATATATATATATATATATATATATATATATATATATATATATATATATATATATATACATACATATATAATAAAAAAAAAAAAAACTAAAAGCATTCTACTCATACCATAGTGAACATGTCAATTATACCAAAAGAAGACAAAAACTTCAAGTCACAACTGTTACCAAGGGTAAACTCTGGAACAGCATTCTTGATCTTGTCTCTGTATGATATGAGAGTACTCCTAACAGCATCCAATTCTTCTTGTGATGGCATGATAGATTCCAGAAATTTTGTGTCTGGCAGAGCTTCTTTCCATTGTTCGTATGTCTGATGGGATGACCAAGAAAAACATTACAAGTGTTAATACAGTATAAATATTTTTCTACTCATATCTTTTCTTTTTCTTTCTTGCTTGCTTGTCTAGGTAATATCTCAAGCAACTTTTGAGTTAGGATGCTAAAATGTGGACACAATAGTAACCAAGTACAGTACTTTGGCATATGTGGCTTTCTTTTTTACTCATTTTGCCAATGGCATGGCATGGGAGCAGTGTAAATTTAACATACCAATACCACATTGCATTTTTCAACAGATATGAACAATATACAAAAGTATTTAAAAGTTCTTCATCATTACACAGCAGATTTTACTATTCAATTTCTTGGAAAAGTTTCGCCCTTGTATCTTGTAATGAATACAATGTAGAGTACAGCTAAACCCTACATTCACCAACCACAAAATAATTAGCAAAATATTTTTATTAATCACGGGATATGAAAATTATTTCCCTTTTATTTAGGCCTTTGATTAACTATTCTACTTTCTATTTGCTGTTAAAGAAATGCTCGAAATAAGCAGCTTCTGGCTGTTAAAAAACAAAACATAAAGGAGACTAATTATTGACTATTTTCATGTAATTAATTCATGTTTATTTTGAATAAAGAATAATGAAACTGATATGGACATTATAGCATTGTCAAAGGATAGAGCAAAACATTACACATCATTACCTGTGTATGAAGAACTTACATAATATGTTTGGTTATAATGTACTTAATAGAACTTTAGTTATTACTAGGAAATCCAGTGTCTACAGTCATAGGCAGATGGATGGATATATCATCATAACTATACTGTATACTACAGCTGTACCTCCCATTCCCCAAAATACATTTTCGGTTGGAAGATATCATTAACTAGCTTGCGATATAACTGCATACAGTATCCCTAAATTGTTCCATAAGATGAAAACTATACCTTTGCTAAAGCACTGCCACCTGCGAGACTTCCACCAAGCACAAGGTAGCGTATTTTGAGAGCTCCACGAAGCACCCTGGCTATAAGCATTCCTATTCCCCGAGAAGGTACGCCATAATTTGGACCCGGAAGTGTGAGTAGATTTCCTCGTGCAGGTAATAGTGACGAGTAGTGACGTAATACTGGTACAAACACTGTTCTGACCTGTAAGGCAAACAGATAAATTTAAATACAGTACAATACAGGTGTATATATACTTGTATACTATATATATATATATATATATATATATATATATATATATATATATATATATATATATATATATATATATATATATATATATATATATATATATATATATATATATATATATATATATATAGTTACAAGGGAAGAATGAAATAAAGTTAAGTCTATTTTCACAGTGAAAAGTTGTGTGGGGATTTAAGTACAGGTATCAGTATTTAAAAGGGTCCTGCATCCCAAGGTACTGTATATATGATAACCTGTAATTTAACATCAACACATTGATATGGTACTCATATATATATATATATATATATATATATATATATATATATATATATATATATATATATATATATATATAGGTAATGTAAACCACAGCCATCAATACTTACTTGGTCTCGCTCATTCTGATGACATAACTTCTGTCTAGCCCACCTTGATTGACTCACCCCCACTACTCGAACTGCATATCTGAGAATAAACACAAAAGTACAGTGGAGTCTTGATAATTCACAAAATATGAATTTGCTTTCTTAAATTCTTAAACATCTAAAAGTAATTTTTTTTTTTGGTTTTGGTGTTTCCTGGTTTATAAATAATATCTCTTTGGCAAAACGAAATACTGTATCACACCAAGTCTTCTTATGTTGATTTTCTTGAAATGAAGCACTTTAGCCATTAATTCCACATCATATTTTTGGTAGAGAACAATGTGATCTATTCACAATAAAAAATTCTTCTCCATCTTAGCACACAGAATTTTGGCCGCCAAATCAGGTTTCCTCGCCCGCACAGGAAGAAATCATTGTTACTGCTAGTGTAGGGGTTATACTGTATGTCCATAAATATGCATTTCCCATGGAAGTAAAGATCATATTGGTTTATTAAAGAAAAAATATGTAAGAATCCATTAATTCCCTCAAGTTGCTGGTTAAGGAACACATCATATTAAGTAGTTCACATGTTAATATATATAAATTGTAAATATGGCTAACTTAGGTGTGGCCCCTTCGTAAGCCAGTATCATGTTGAGTCCCATATATTACCAGAGCTAATCAGGTGGTCTACATCATACTATATACAAACAATATATGAGGTCCATAAATTACCTCCTTGGATTTATGATACAATTTCAAAAATTTCATCCGGCCTAGTGAAGGCTTAATATACCCACAACATTACCTCTCAACCTAAATGATAAGGAAAAAAAATCACATTTACTTACCCAAACCTTCCTTTCATTAATTTATACATTCTGTACTATAAAACAGTGAAACATTTGGTATAATTGATCCACTATATTGTGTTGCCGGACCAGCTGATCTTCTGCTAGTGTTGTCTATTTCCAGGTTCTAACGTTGATTATTATAAAACAGAATATAAATCTATTTTTCTCTTTTTTCACAGTAATAATATAAAATAAAATATTATATTGTAAAAAAAAGTATAAATTTGATATCTTCATTGCATATTTGCCAGTTTGAATAATTCTCTGCTATATAATACTGATACACACCCCAGGTTATTTCATCAGAAGTATTTTTATTCAAGTTCATTATATCGTCCCCGCTCCTTTATAAGACTTACTTAACATTATTTATAATAGAATGACTAAATATATAATATAAAAAAACTGAAAATTGTCTTCTAATGTCCATATCACTTAAAACTAAAGGAAAGGCGTCAATAGTTTATTAAATTAAAACCCAAGGAGCAACAAACCTTTTAGACACCATGGTCAGGAGCAACTTTAATTAAGGGAACACAAGACAATTTTATTCACAATATAACTTGTAAGTTGTAAGGGATACAATCATTAATGGTGAATAAGCATCAAGGAATATATCTTCCTTGATAAATATATAGGTACCGAACACGTTATGAATCAACATCTCGAGTAAATGCTCTTTCTTTCGTGATTGATAAAAAAATGAGAATAATTCCTTAATATTAAATACAAATATTGACTTAAAGTTAAGGAAGGGAGTTGGGTGGTAGACGCTGAGGCTTTATCTTAACTCTGATTGGCCAGAAGTCATGACGTCAGGTATATGAAGCTTAACCTTGACGGTGATTGGTTAATTTATTTTGTGACGTCATATGTTTACATTTTCAAAAACCTGCCCTCGCGTGTCTCTGTTTCCTGTGACCATTTGTCCAGCCCATTGAGGTGACTAGTGAGGGTGTATAGTTGGTGTCAGCATACAGTGGTGTTATATCTAATGGCCCTTTCTTTACATGTACATCAAGTTTAATGAGTTATAATTGACTTTACTTTATCCTCTTCTCCACTGATCGGCCTGTCAACCACTGAGGCTGGTGGTCATGTCTGCCACACTATTGGCTCCAGAATGTACCTGAACTTTGTTTCTGTCATGACATGTTCCTAATATGCTATTTATTTAATTGATGATATGTATATTCTTTTATGTGATGACATTTTTCTGTTAATTTCCAGATTCAGGAGTAACAATGGGAGGCCTAGCAAGCAAACACATGGAGGACATTTTCAAGGCTCCAGGGACTCCCCAAAATACTCATGTTTTGCCTGGGGATCCTCGTTCACCATCTGATTACATATCGAGGACTCCTATTGCTGTAAGGGAACTATATAAAGATTCTGTATTGCTTAAATTTCTACTAGTTAAGGCTAAATAATAAATTATTTTCCTGTGGCAATTTTAGCAGTCTCACTCTGTGCAAAGTATCGCTGTGTTAGGTTAATACTGTGTCTCAAGTTGGGTAATTTTTTTCAAGTGGACAACCAATGTATATTTTGTTGTGCAATATGTCTGTCCGATGTTCTAGGCAATTTTAAGACACTTTTCTTCTATGACGTTTCCCTCGCAAATGACCTAAAAATACCTAATCTAACTTCCTAACCAGGGGGCGCTGCCCCCTGGTATATTTAAGTAATTTGCGAGGGAAACGTCAAAGAAGAAAAGTGTCTTAAAATTGCCTAGAACATCGGAAAAAAAAATATTGCTAAAAAAAATATACATTGGTTGTCCACTTGAAAAAATTTACCTGAAGTTGTCATGTGCAGAACCATATTGATACTTATATAGAGATAGAGAAAATAGATAATTTACTCTACAGTAAAGCATATATGTTGGAATTTTATAGTTTTCAAGTTATTTTGAGATTTCTATTTTAAACATAATATAGCCACTCCTCGACTTAGGACGGGGTTAGGGACCCAAATCCAGGTCTTAAGTCGAAAATGCAAAGATAATACATAGAAAATCTAAAATGGGTGTCTTTTTTTCTTCTCAGCACCACAAAACTCTCACTTTTAAGCATGCCAACCATTTTAAAAGGAATTACAAACGAAAATTTTGTCAGTACACAGCGCAGTCACTAATGTCGGGACTCGAAAATGCGTAATTTGAAAAAAAATTGTACGACTGGGGCAATTATATGTCCAGGTGGTCGTAAGTCGAGGAGTAGCTGTACATTACAAGTTTACGGGGAAATGAGCATAAGTTTGGATGTCATGTGATAAGAACATAAGAAAATAAGGAGACTGCAATAGGCCGGTTGGCCTGTGCATGGCAGCTCCTGTCAAGAGTTACTACCACTCTCTATCATCCATGACTCTATCTAGCCTCCTTTTAAAACTTTACAGCATTCCAGTACTTACTACAAAGTTGCTAAGCTTGTTCCACTCGTCCACCACCCTATTTGTGAACCAGTTCCTTCCTATCTCCCTCCTAAACCTAAACTTATCCAACTTCAATCCGTTGCTCCGGGTCCTATCCTGCTCGGATATTATAAGAACTTTATATCTCCTCTATTGATTTCTTTCACCCACTTAAATACTTCTATCATATCTCCCCGCACTTCGTCTTTCTAGGGAATGCAAGTTTAGTTTCTTTCATCTATCTTGATATGGAAGGTTTCTAAGTCCCGGAATCATTTTCGTCATTCTTTGCTGCACCGACTCCAGTGAATTGATATCCATTCTACAATAAGGGCACCAGAACTGAACAACATAATCGAGGTGTGGCCTGACTGGCGCAAGATATAGTTGCAATAAGACCTCTGCACTCTTATTACTTACACTTCTAGATATAAAACCTAATACTCTGTTTGCCTTATTTCGAACATTAACGCAAGCTCTGGAATTTGAATTGCGTAGTTGTAAGGTGGCATCTCTCTATGAAGGTCAGTCCTTGGCGTGTAATTTTTGAGAACAAAGCCGCAGCTGTTGATATCTTCAGGGCTCATGATGATCTCCCTTCTTCAGTCATGTGTCCAAGGCATGATTCACACTGTCAATATCATGATGTTTGGCACACTTGTTATTGCAGTAAGTGACAGACACTCCCCAAGAGGAAGGCAGGAGCTACCCATGACCTGTGTAACATAAAACAAAAATGGCTGGCCCGATGATGCGGACAGTGTACAGTATTAAGGGTTTTTAAAAATTATTATTAAATGTAAAGCAGGATAGTTAATGGAAAGTTAATAGAAAATATTCACCCACCTGTTGTTAACTGTAATTTAAATGTCAAATATGACAAAGTCGTCTACTATACTTGCTAATTAGTTGTTAAAATTAAATGAGGAGGAATTGTGTTAGGGGTCTCTGAAGAAACAGATAATTGGGTACCCGGGTAATTATTTATTGTATGCTTAGTGTGGCATCCAGTAATTATTTTATTATAAACATCAGAAAAATAATTAAACATCTATACTTTTTCTGTGCATATAAACATTTATAGTAATAAAAATAATAATACACTAATAACAAGAATGTTGATGTTTATTCAGTATAATTGTTATACAGGTTTACAATTGGATAAGCATGTTTATAAACTGCAGTTTTACAGTTCAGCATGAATATAGACAGTGTAGGTATACAGTGCATGTAGGCTGTTGGAGTACCTGTACAGGTATACAATTTCTTGTATGCAGAGACAATGCAGGTAACAACAATGGTAAACAGTAAAGCATCTTGATCAAGGATAGCCAACTGGGCTGTCAGGCGCTTGATTCCAGGAAGGTTAAGAATCGCTGTCTGTTTGCTTACACTTTGTCACTGATGCTCCTCTCACACTCATCTACTCAACCAATAGGAGCTTTATACAGGTTTACTTCAAATACTATATACAGTATCATAGCCTTCTTCTTGCTATCCTCAACAGGTAACCAACACTCCAGACAGCAGTAATGATGGCACGCCACGTCTGAAAGTGCTCGCTAGTGATCCTCGCTCTCCTAACACAGATGTGAGTCTGTTGCCTTATATGCTTTATATTCATTGGTTTGCCTTTGATGGCTTTGAATGAATTTCAGATTGTGAAAGGGGTCAGGTGTGAAGGTGGAATCAATGGATGTTATGGGGCCGGCAAACCATACTCACTAAGGTATTCTTGTGTTGCTTCTTTCGGGTAGAGGTTGGTAATCTTTGAATACCTTAAGGAGATGTGACTGCCTTGCCAGCTAAAAAGGTGCTTGGAAGCCCTGCATACACTGTAATGTCCAATTCCAGTCTGTAAAAGTAAGTGGACAATAGGAAAAGCATTCAGCCATAAAACTAGCTACAAATTTACCAGGTGGCAACTGGGATGCCATGCCATCAGGTCATCATGGTTAACCCACACAAGCATGGAAAATGGTCATAACAGGGTGATGTTGATGATGTGAAGCAGCAGGACTTTTCTCAGAAGCCAACTGCAGATCTCTCTTTTTGTGTAAAGTTATTAAAAATGGTGTAATTACACCTGAGATAAACCATTTTCAAAGATGATTCTCTCATCAACTTGCACATGCAAAATTTATATGATTTTCATGACATAATCATTGCCGATGATTTACTTGGTGTATTCCTGGTAACACTCATGATGACAGTGCCTCTGGCGGGGTAGCACTTAAAAAAGTAAATTTGTCCAATAATACTCTGATTATTGTTGATCAAATGTTTCTTTTAATGAACCTAAGCGCAAAGTTTCAGGAGGGAGAGAAGAATTTGTTTATGGTATTAATGAATTTAGAAAATTTTTATGATTGGACAGATTAAAAGAATATGGGAATTAATTCCCCGGAATGAGTGGCGTGGATGTCATCTAGTGATTTTTATGGGAGAATGTGCTGCTAATGTGTAGTGCGAGGTTGTGTTGAAGTGACTACATAACCCAGATACAGTACTGTAGATATTTGGGGACTACCATAAGAGAACACATCTTTTACAGTAGTAAAAATGAATTAATGACAATAAACAAAAGGAGATCCTGTGTGTGTATGTGCATGATTACTCTTTATCTTGTTCATCCTACATTGAACTGGTAAATGGCTTTGAAGAGTGAAAACTTTATCCAAAGTGAATCATTACCCAAGAAAATTTCTTGACCAGCACAACACAGCCCAATGCTTGCAAATTTGTGTTTAAAGGAGAATTTGAATTACTTCATTTATACATAGTTGAACATCTTTTATATAGTTTCAAGAGACTTTCATTTTTCCAGGTGAACCGGACTCCTATTGTTGTTGAGACCAACACTGAGCGTCGTCGTCCTTTTCATCTCAAACCTTCCAGACTCGAGCAGCTTGAGTCTGTATCAAGCACTTCTAATGGGAGCAATGACACTGAAAATGATCCTAGGTCACCTACAACAAAAGTTCCCAGAACACCTTTGGATGAAAAAGAACATGGTGTGTAAAGCCAAAAGTTTCCTATTGATACAGTATATTAATACTTGATGACTTAGTAACTACTTTTCTGGCTATTGCCCTTAAGCCAGGTAGCTTGTAATATGAAGGAAGAGTGTGTTGCTCCTGATTCCAGCTACCTTGAGCCATGCAGGAAAAGGCATGCAGAAATAAAAAACACTATTGTAAATCAAGTTGACGTCTGGGATCTAACATTTTACAGGAAGTGATTGAATTATGCCAGTCTTACATAATCTGTTGTGTATTGGTAAAAGGAAAGACTAGGCACTAACAAAGGCATATAATTATTAGACACAATATTTATTTATCATTTCACTACTTGTCATCTTACTGTCTCATCAGGAGGTTGGTCTGTTCTTTGTTATGACTTTATTGTCCAGTTATATTTGGATGATGTATTAAAATAGTATCTCAATTTTCAGTTTTTGATACAGAACCCATTACACAAAATGACAGTGAAAACAGTGCAGACCAATATAGTACTGAAGTTGAAGAGGCAGCAGCCAGTGAAAACATGGATGACCAGGAGAAATCTTTGGTGAAAAAGCTTTTCCCATGTGGTGGATCGACAGACAAGGTATGTTGCTAGTGGTACTATTGTTGTTATCATAGTTTGAGATTTAATTCTTTCACCTACAGATATTAGAATTGCTTAAAACTGGACAGAAATTCCAAGGAATGTGATCTTTTAGATGAAATTACTTTAATCCTATCATGAATTCCTTATTTTTGCTGTATGCATACCAGTAAATGCCATCTTTGGAAAATTTTACTTTAATTACTTATGCATCTTGATTCTAGATGCGCCGTCCACTAACTTCAGTGCAGAATACTGCATCTAATAACACACCTCGTGGCCGCCTTCAAGCTAAGCAATGCAAAAATGTTGAGGAGGAATATAACAAAAGTCAAAAGGTTATTCTTGATCAATTGTCCCAGGAAAATACTGTTGTAGCTTCCAGCACACAATTTGTTGAAAGTATTTGATATGTTAAAGTTCTTGAAATATAAGAAATAATTTTTGTGTGTGTTGCTTTAGGTTGTTAAATTATAATCATAAGACTATAATAGCTTAGCTAAAGAAAGAGTCAATGCTTTGCCAATTGAATTTTTTAAGTCAGTTATAATGACATGGAAGATTCAAAACAAAGATTTGGGACCAAGTTAATACAGTACTACAAAACTTTTTATACTCTTCAATATATCCCTTGATTTTCCACGATTCATTTTAATTATATAACTCTCTCGGTACCCAGGCAAGTATCCATCTAACCTCCAAAATGATCAATTCAAGTCTACCACAGATATGTTTATAGTGTAGAGAATTTTTTTGTGGTGGTTAAATACAAGAGGATAAATGACAAGTGCCATGCAGATTCAGTTTGCAAAAAAAAAAAAAAAAAAAAAAATTAATATGTACATATACGGTTTTCTCTCCCACTTGGTAAAGCAAAATAGTTTAATTTTGTTATACAGTAGTACAGTATATAATTTTTTCATGGCTGACATAGTAGCATCTGATATAATATTTCAAATTTTGTCTGTTGTGATCATTGTGTTTGTGTTTGCTATTGAATGACTTGGTTAAGTGTGAAATTTGTATACAGTACAGTATACTGTCCACACTTATGCAGTATTACATGCTGGAAAGATTATTTCTGTTCTTTGTTTTGTGTAGTTTCTCAAGTTTAACTATCAGTATGTTTACTTGTATAGCCATGCATATAGACCTGTATTAGACACTCGACACTGACCATATAATTTTTGTTTGCCATTCTCGGGTTTAATTCATGGGAGCCAAAAGATGTGCAGTTAGATTATGGATCAACATGTGGGATTGTGATATAGTGTGATACACTTCATACTATCCAAGGTGGTCATTTGATGGTCATGTAATTTAGATGAATGAAACAGATAGAGATGGAAAATATTGAAATGCTGTAGGCATTTTCCTGTTAAGTATCCTGATTTTACCCGACTCAAATTGCTTATTGAACTTTGCGTTTTCCTTTTGTTGACTTTTTAGTGGATAATCTTATAATCACATGCTTTTTTTGTTTTAATCAAACTAATCTTAGCCTAATTAACCAGGTTTGTTTGAAAGTGACTACTAATGTGTTAAAATTAACATGAACATTCTCCATTGCAATCCAGTCACAATTTATTTGATCAGAATATAAGTTCTGACCCTATCTAACTTAAGTTAGTTATGACTTACTGATTGTTAATAGGATTGTGAGTTAGGCTTGTGAGTGCTGAAGTAATAACCGTAGTCATTTACTTGAACATCCCCCCCCCCCCCATAAAAAAAATTATGCTGTGGTAAATATTTTTTTTTTATGGTTGTCACTTTTAAATTATTAGACCAACAATAACAAACTTGGATAGCATACACTCTGCATCAGAATATTGGACTTGGGTCCATACAGCACTGTACTTCTATTGGACTCCATTTATCCTTTACACTATAAGCTCCTCATGGATGATGGCATATGCAAAATGCTTGTAGACATTTTGTGTCACATATTACTGTACATGTAGTTGCTGTGAAAGGGTACTGCAGTTATTTTGCATTTAAGGGTCAGGGGACAATAACTAGTACTGCTTTGCATTTTGCCAGAGTTGACTCCGTAATGAGGAACCGTGTAAAATTACAAAAATGATAGCCTTTTGTTTATCATCGGAATTTTTTCTTTGGTGTATTAAAGGAGCTCCTTGTCTTCAAGCCACTCTTCTCAGCCAGGCTATCAGTTTAATGGACTCTTTCTTCAACTCACAAATCACGAAGATTATGAGGTGATCTGATAGCTTCATTACTTTCATCCCCCTCATAAAAATACAGTATGACTAAACTAATTTTGTTTTGTTTTTCTTGTAAGAATAATGTAAAAGGTTCTTTTTAAAATAATATTTTGATTCACATATTTGACTCATCTTAATTAACTCTGGATCTGTCCCCATTTTAATATTGTATATACAACTCAGTCATAAATAATGGAACATTAAATGTCTACAATATATTGGATTCTATTTTACATTCATGTATGACAGAAAAATGGAAGGCTATATTAGAGATGTTGTATAATAGTCCTTTTGTATTACCAGGTTGTTCCACACTTTAATCCGATGTACAGGTCATCATAAAATCTCGTCAACTTATTTTACCCTTTCTTGATTATTTAATTTTTTACTTTTTTTCGTGATGTATTGACACGTGTATTCTTTTAAGCCTACAGTGGTGTCAGTTTTATACTGGATTGTATTGTTTTTGTTGGTATTATCCAATACAATAATTTACTCAAACTGTCTTTAATTTCCATTTCTGGAGTGAGTAACAATGAAATATACACTCGTTTTAATATTTGGAAGTCATGTTTTAAAAGGATGATTTAGGTTCCAAAAAACCATAAACATATGGGAAAAAAATAAGGTTCAGTTTCCCAATGACAAAAATACACCAAGCACACGAAATGGGTCTACAAACATGAACAAAACCTACCTAACTAATGATAAATAGTACACAGCTACTGTAATTTACTACCAAACACATGAAAGAAAAATATTGAAATACTGTTTAACTTTGGTACATTACCTTATGGGAGGGCACTCTGTGTTCACTACCACCAAGGGATGGGCTGAGTAAGGCCCTTACTCCGTGAGATGAGTAGGGTTGTCCACCTTATCACTGCTGCCCAGCTGCTTATCTGATCTCAGTCCAGTATGCTTTTACAGTATATTGTGGCTGCACTAGAAGTAGCCAAACCAAGATCTTTCCCAATCTTAGTACAGCCATCACTGCATTTTTTACAGCTTTTCTTCGATAACCATTTTTCCTAAATATGTACGCCTTATAATGGAATAAGGTTCATATTGCAATCACATAAAATAAAGAAGGTATAAAGTGATGTACAGTATAAACATTTTCATTAAGCATATACAAAAATTCTGTGTATAGAAATAATTATTTTATCGTTATTACTCATACAGTATGAAACTGTTGGAGATAATTTATTAACAATACTATTGCAACAAATACCACCTTTTTATCTCAAAGAGCAAGCTTGCTATGACTCATTATGTACAATTATCTCTCGTGTGGTGCAGTCAAGTACAGTGAGCTGAGTAACAGGCCAGACCCCGAGCGTCTCATGGGAGAGCGCTTGCCTAAACCCCAAGAGTATTAAAATTTTCAAGGAAGAATTGGAAATGCCCTGCAGGCCTTGGTAAAATAGAAGTACAATACAGTGATATCTCTGTTAGCCGGAACAATTGGTGCAGAGCACTTCTGGGAATGAGAGATTTTCGTGTAACATGACGACTCTCAAAGCCGGAAAATCCCTCATCTCCAGAATTTTCTGGGTAACGGATGAAATGTTCTTGGAAGTTCCAGAAATTGCGCATTACATCATCTCTTTAACCCGGAAAAATATTCCCCATCCCTAGAATTTTCTGGGTACCGGAAAAATTTTCTTGGAATTTCCCGAAAAATGTGCCTGATTGTCATCTCTCCTATCCGGTAAAAACTCCCCCATCCCCGGAATTTTTTAGGCACTGGGAAAATTTCCTACAGAAAATTCCAATTCTGGCTGTTGGACAGTTCTGGGTTTGAGGGATTCTGGCTAGCGGAAATATTACTTGTACATGTATAGAGCAACACACCTTTTGAAAGACTGAAGGGAACATTTTGGACTCATGTGTAAATAAATTTTATGTGCAAGGTACAGCCACTCAAAAACCTATCTTTACAAAATTGTGTTGAGAAAATATGATGCATTGGACGAAGGATTTTGACAACCCTACCGAGACAATGGGTCACAGTGTTCATTCTGAAATTCATTGAACCCCCAAGTCTGGATAGTTTTTTGAGTGACTACATATTAAAAAAAATGGGTGAATAGAAATGTAAAAAGCACCTAATACGAGATAAGAATTTAAAACATACATTAAGTCCTCGCTTAACGTTGTTTCGGTACTACGTCACTGCACTTTAGAGACCAAAAATTCGTTTAACGTCCCGGTAATCTGATACTACGTCGTTTTGCGTCGCCACGGACTACTTTCTACGGCGCTTCACCCGCTCTTGTCTGGCCGTGCTACGCTCTCTCGGCTCAGCGGGCTGCCCTCACTCGCGGTACGTCACAGCATCCCCAAGCGACGCCAAGCCAGTCTCTGTTACGACTTCACATCATTCGTGTGTGCTTAAGTGCTTTTGCTCTAAAACTCTACCCATTCGAAATGGCTTCCAAGCGCCCACCAAGTGCTTCTGATGCTAGTGTAGTGAAGAGGCAATGTAAGACCATTACCCTTGCTACAAAAATGGATGTATTAACCCGATTTGAAAAAGGGGAACGTGCTGTGGACATAGCCGATGTGATAGGTCTAACCCCCACAACGGTGTGTACTATCTGGACCAACGCTGACAAGATTAAGGTCAGTGCTGGAAATGGGTCTTCTCTGAGAACTACTAAGATGACTAGTACTAGAAGCACTGTGATAGAGAAGGTGGAAAAGATGCTGGCAATGTGGATGGAGGACCAGAATCAATGCAATGCCCCTGTGAGCCTTATGGTTATCCAGCATAAGGCCAGATCCTTGTTTGATGACATGAAGGAAGCAGATGGTGAAGGATCGAAGGAAGAGACCTTTACGGCCAGATGAGGCTGATTTCAACGATTTAAGCTTTGGTATAACTTCCACAACATAAAGATGACTGAAGCTGCCAATTAAAATTCAGTTGCTGCCGAGACATTCCCGCCAACAGCAGAGGAGGAGCAAACATCAATGGAGGAACCCCAGTCAGAGCAGGAGGAGGAGGCAGCCACAGAGTCTCAGTGGCTCACCACCCTCCTCCGCTCCACTACCCACCACACACTCGCTCTACCACCTCCGCCCATCGGTGAGTACCAATACAAACTTAGTACTGTAGTTCTATATACTATTTTCTATAGAAATGGCAATGATTTTCTGTATATGTAACTTTTTTTCATGGGGCAAAGGGAGGCTGGGGAACGTAACTCTCATATTTTATCTATTTCTTATGGGGAAAATTGATCCGCTTAACGTTTCGTATGTCGCTTTTTCAGGAACGTTAAGCGAGGACGCCTTGTACTGTACAACAATATAATTTAGGAATGTTATTAATGCATTATTGTCCGACTAATACAAAAACAACCCATCTTAAAATAAAGAACATGAAAAAAAGGGGAAAAAATATCTACCTTAGATACTTATTTATTTAAGGGGGGAAACTCCTAAATACAATTTTAACAATAGAACACAGTAAAGTGCTTCCTTAAAAGAGATTATAATGGCAATCTTTTACTACATTTTTAAGTACGATTAACATTGTGTAATTAAAAAGATTTTTTATAGACATACTTATCTTTAATCAATATTTCATAACTTGTTAACCTTACTGCCAAAATGCCAGGTAGAGGTCTTGATGAGAAGGAAGCCTGAGGCCTATTATATTCATGGTCATCTTGTCCATGGCTTTTTTAAAGTAAACAGCACACTTGCTTTTATAGCTTCAGTGAAAGTGTTAATGTTTAAAATTACCATGGAGAAGGTCATTATGAATAATTACTGTACTGGGGAGGGGGGCGGGGGGTTCAAGAAGGCATGGGATTCCCCCTGCAAGAACCTCTCTACTAAAGATGAGATGCATTGTAGACAAGATAAAAAAAAATTTTAAGAAATCATAATCATCAGTCCATATGAAATCACATCATTAGTCACACTTTAAAATGTATGAAGTGGATGACAATATAATCTATTTATAAAGGGTAGAAAAAATTAATTACATACATTGAGCTAAGCATAAATTACTGTATACCAGTATACACCACATTCCATGGCCAAGTTGAGGATCAATTACAAAATTTATACATACAATAATGGTCGCCCAATATGTTCCATTGGAAAATACACGGAAGAAGCTTTCACAAGGATAGGAGATTCAAGAATGTTAAGAACTCTTAGGCCAAAACTTTGAAGACGAAGCACGGATTCCTTTCTTTGCTGGCCGTTTTTTGTCATGGTCACGAGAATCCGACACCAGGGCCTCATCACCTTCCTGAGCCTGAGTCTTAAGTGAAGCTTTTATGTTCAACACCTGCAGGATACAATAACACACAGATGAGTAGAACTGGATCCCAGTTATTAAATATAAGATTCACTAAAAGTGATTGTAATATTCAAAGAGAATATAAATTAATTTTAAATTACAACATTAAAATTAAACTAATATTACAAAACAAAAAACAGTAAACCTTCCAATTAACAGTATGTACAAGATTCACATTGACACTGATACTTTTGAATGAACTAAGATGGTCATAGAGATAACATGGATGCTATTCCAAAATCATTAGTTACATGTTAATATTTTACTGTTGGATTAAATTTATGACAAGAAGCACTGGCAATATCAATGATGCCAAGATTTTAACCAACTTTAATTGTCTGATGCCCTTTTTTACTATAATGTGGACTGGTCAACGGTAATTTTAAGGCATAAGATTTGTTTAACAATTATATCACAAGAAAGTTTTAAAGTGATGATTATTTCTCATAATTTTTGACCCAAAAAATCTACCTTAGGAGAGGTATTCCGATAAAAAAAAGTGACAAAACAATAATCATAAAGACCGGATTCAAAACTTCAACCTAAAGGAAGGACCCAAAGCAATGTTATATTTGTAGTTGGAATGATTCTCCCATTGTGATCAAACATACTGTACATGAGAGGATAGTATTAAGTTTTCTTAATACTGTAGTTGTTTGTGGACTGACTTGATCTTGAAGGCACACAAATTTAGTCATGATTAAAACTACTGTTATGAAGTAAGCCTTTTCATAATTCATAAATAAATTTTATAAATAAGAGTTCATCAACTCTAATAACAAATTTATAAATGACATTTGGTTGCAGACATCATCTGTCAAGAGACCTCCCTGACATATTCTGTAATTGGTGGGTTTACGAAGCATACTTGAATTATGATAACAAAAGTTTTGGATTTCTTTCACAACTGAGCGATATCAAATTTAGTACAAAACAGTTAGCTAATTTTGGGTAAAACATGAGGGCAGGGGAGTGACTGTGTGTATTACTTACAGGCTAACTTTTGGCTGGAGATTGGATGCAACCATTGGCCCTTGCCTTGCAGCTAAACTATGTCATTAACAATATTAGCAATATGGTCCTACTGTAATGCACACAAATTATCACGAAAACAAAAACACAATTTCAATTATGGACAAAAAAGGCAAAGATTTTTTTCTATACATCTATCTACATACACCTTATTCAGCATTCACATAATATAATACAGAATCTATAAATCAACATCTATCCATATATCAACTGATATTATGGTTGCCAATCACCTCCATGCTTACAAGTGTTAAAATGATGGACAACAAAATTCAATACATTTAATAAAGTCTTCTTCATTGTTGTTTTGGTTAACACGTAAGTGAAATCGGCACCATTTGCTTCCACTAATAAGTAATTAAAATGAGAAGAGAATGGGAGCAGGAAATGTCAAAAAGAATGTGTGCACAAAAGATAAAATTAGTTAAGGTTATGTTAGGTTGTCAGTCTCAATTAGGTTTATGTTAAAAAAAAATCCAGGTTGAGTTAGGCCAGGTTAGCTTAGGTAAAGTTGGGAGTAGAATGGAAGCATGAAAAAACAGGTGAAGTATAAGTATATGAGCCATGTAATTATAAATAATAATATTGTAAATAGGCAAATTTAACATTATTCTTGTTTTCTTGTTTTACATACACATACTCTTTAATAGCTTTGTAATAACAAATACACATATCTGGCAAGTTTAATAAATATGTGTCACAGTCAGTGGTATAACATTGCACTTCCAACCATTTCAGAATATTTAATTACCATATAAGAATGAACAACCAATACTATAAATAAAAAAATGTTTTTACAACCATTCAACCATGTAATTATTCTATTGTATACTGGTACTAACTTGATACACACAGGGGATCATCATATCTCAAAAAATCTCATAATTCTTATAAGTTTCATACATGAAATATTTACAGATACATGAAGTTTGGTACAAAGAATTTAATCCACCAAAAAGGTGTCAAATACTATTAAGTGATTAGCACTCTAGAAAGCTTTCACTGATGTAAACTCCAAATGACTTCTATTTAAGCAAAGTTAATGGTTGAAAAATCTATAACCTCACACTTATTGTGATTTCTATGAATTATAAACTCACACATATGAGGATTATAATTTTAAAAACCCACATGTACTGTACAGTACAGTACATGTAAATTATAAGAGCCCCAAACACCCACTATTATGATAAGATCTGTGACTTTTGTTTAATATTTCTTACCTCTGTTTCTAGTGAATTGCGGTGCTTCAAGTGTTTCTCTTTGTCTGAGTTAGCACGGGTGATCAATTGGTCAATATTGGTGAGCATGGTATCACAAGTGTCGCACCAAGACTGTGAATGGATAAAAAAAATTTAGAACATGGCCTCAGGTGTCATGCCTTACAAAAAATTCAATCCAAAAGTCATATAAAATAGACATCTGAATGGCATTCTCACTACTGTATTGCTAATGATCATCAAGCATTGCCGTGATAAAAAATTAAGTCCCTTATAGTTCCAATTTAGTTGATCATGTAAAAACTAAAGAGCCTGACAAATTTCGCAGTACAGTACTGTATATGAGTTACTCAACCAAAGCATGGAAATATAAATGGATTTTAGGATTAATCATTTATTTGTGCAGCAAAAGAGGCTTACCTGTAAAGTTGCTACAATGTTTGGTAAGTCCTCTGGTTTGATATCCCGGCCAATGGCATGGTCCAGCTCCAGTATACCATTTTTCTGATCCAGTTTGCCATGTATAATATCTGCGAAGAAATATCAGATACAGTATTTCTTCCCTATATGTTCACCTCTTATCTCCACTCCTCTCTCACTATTTTGTGGGGTGGATCAAAGCATACAAAATCTCAAAAGGGGAAATAATAAGGAGAGGTAGAAGGTACAGTGGAGTCACCATAATTCATGGTTTAGGTACAAAAAGACATTGTGAATTATCAAATTGCGAATTACAGGGGGCCCCCCAAATTTGCGGGGGTTAGGTTCTCAAAATGGCAGCGAATTGCCAAATCCGCGAATAACATTTGCTAACCCTGGGTGGGAGGGGTCCATTTTTACTTGTGTACAAAGAAATGTATATTTCCTTTATGTGTTTGCCCTTAGGACAATTATTTCTTTTACCTGTGTTGTATACAGGGTATAAGTGTGTGTGTAGACACACAAAACACATTCAAATAAATAATAAAGGGAAAATATTCTTAAAAATAATCAGAAACAAATTTATTAAAAATGTGATAGTCAACCCTCAAGTTTGTGCTTTAATAAATAAAGCACAGACTTGAGGGTAGACTCGCACATTTTTATTTTTAAAAATTCTGATTATTTGTGGGTATTTTCCCATTATTATTTATTTGTATGCATTTTGTGTGAGTGTCTACACACAAACATACAGTGGGGTATGCTATAACGAACGGATCCTACTACGAATATTCCTATAACGAACGGTTTTACCTATAAAATTGAGAATGCTATAACAAACGAAACTCCTACAACGAACATTATTTTTTTTTTTTTACTAATTTATTGTTTTTTTATTACAAGTATTAATGATATTGGTTATTTCAGGGGTTTAGATGCATATTTATGCACTTTTTTACAATTTTTACAATTTTATATTATATTTTTCAGTGTTAAGTGGTTGTATTTGGGGGCCTGGAACGGATTAATCCTATAACGAACGAATGCTATAACGAACAAGGTTCTAGAACCAATTAGATTCGTTATAGCATACCCCACTGTATTAACAATACAGGTAAAGGAAATTGCTGTCTCTAGAACAAATGGCTCCCTGTCCCAGCTGCAAAAATGCTGGCAACTTTAAAATTACCCAGAGACATTCTTGGGTACCTCCAGAGTGTCATCCACGAATAATAGAATGACCGAGAAATAAAAATCCGAGAATTTGGCCCCCCCCCCCCTGTATAGTTTAACTGATTTAAATGGAAATAATTAGCTATATTCCAGAGGCCAAAAAATACACATAAAATGTTTTCCTTGAGTCACTGATACAGTATTGTTTATTAGGTAAACTAGTTTTTACAAGAATTCTTAAACATTAGGAAATATGTAAATGATACGATAACAGAAACACAATAATAAAGAAACAAGATTCAGCTAGTGATAAGACACAGTCACTGTCAGATGACATGGTTCAGATAATCTTACAATGAAGCTTCTGTGAGAATTATGCACCCTTCTCAATTATTTTCAAAGTAAACTTGAATTTAATACTAAAAGATAGGAGGATGAGGTGGTCTATCAACAAAATAATGCCTAAACTAACCAACCAAAACAGTTCTTCAGTTTACATTACCTGTATACATTGCCTCAATAATCAGGTCTTCTAACTCTCTGGTGGAGGTGAGGCCTAGCTGGGTGCCAAGGGTGACCAGGGGAATGCTCTTCTGTCCTGTAGCCATGGAGACAATTGTGAGATGCCTAAGCTTGGTGAGCATCGTTGGAGTTAACGTTGGAAATTTGGACGATTCTCTGCTGAAATCACCATAAACACCATAGGCAAAGAGTTGTAGAAGCTCGTAATATGGTGCATGTTGAGGATTATTTTTTAGCTGTGGAATATTAAAGAAAACAAAAACAATCTTGTTACACTTTACAGAAATATATTCATAATTTTTCTTGTGATATGATTCAAAATAAGATGGATGTAGATGATTACCTTAAGCTGTGAAACATCAAAATAAAACACACACATCTTTATTACTATCTCATTAGAACCTTACTTACTAAAGTGATCTCTTATGTTTCTTCTTACCAATCTTATATTTGAGACTACAGTATTATATTTCAGTACAGGTTTATGATCTAGAATTTGGCTATCTGGAACTTGGAATTGTCTAAAATTTAGAAAATTTTGACAATACAGCACTGTAGTCCTTTCAAAATACTTTCCTGTAATGTAAAAAATGTAGTCAAGAACTGAAATCTGAATTTCAGACAATATTGTATCCCATATTCCTGACCTAAGCTAAGCCAGAGGATTAAAATGGCCTGAAAATGCCAATGACATTGGTTAGACTTCAAATATCTTCCGTTTTATAATGGAAGTCAATGGGAAAATAGGTTTCGCGTAACGGAATTTCGCGATATGGTCAATTTTCCAGGGACGCAACCCTTCCGTAACGCGAGGGATGCCACCTCCTGCCACATGCAGCCCCCCACCCAACTCACGCAGTCCGCCACTACAACAAAATTCAGCCCATAAGAGCCCACACCGATAGATATAAGAACAGCACCATCCCATCTATTGTTAAAATAATAAACAACTCCTGATTTATGTACTGTACAGCCCTGTAAATGTATTCAATGCATATTATATCATTCTGTCTAAATCAAATGTAAGTCTGTATGTTTTCAGCCACCGGCTGCAACTCTATTAATAAACCGTTTATAAAATAATTATTATTATTATTATTATTATTATTATTATTCAGACCATTACCACTCCGCTGACATCACTGTTGTCTTCACATTTTCTTAGTCAAATTTTTTAATTTAAAATATATAAAAAAAAAGTTGTTTTAAGTAAATCTCGACATACAACAATTTTAATTTTTTAGATTTTTCATTAAAAAAATTTAATAAATAAAAAAAGCCTAGAAGTAAATCTCAAAGTTTAACATCATTCCTATATACAACATCTAGAACATAGACCAATCATGCAGGAAAGGTCGGGTGATAAATCAGTCAGCACTCCAGGAAAGTTAAACAACTTAATCTAAATAAAGCAAGTTTAAATAAAAGCATAAATTACGTGCTGATAGCTAACGCTGACATCATGTTATGCCTTAAGCCAAGTCAAAGTTAAGTGCAGGGGTTCCCAACCACCAGTCCATTGACTCCAAGGGCATGCGCTTTTAATTTTTGCAGGGACTCAAATTAATATGACTGGGGAACTCTCGTATCTCAAAATGTGAGTCAGCTGGGTGGCTGAACTAATTCATGTCGCCCAGAGGAGCTATTCTTTGTACATAAAATAATATACTGTATACTGTACCAGTAAATGTGAGGAATAAATACAAAATAATATAAATAAATTAAAATAAAAGAAAAATATTGCATTGCCATTTGCCTTTCATTTCACTACACATGGGACACAGGAAACATTGAACAGCCGAGATCTCCCATGTCGCTCCGCCTTCCCGACTGTGTGTGCTAACTCCAGTGCACGAAGAAATGTTTATTCCCTTCATAAATTTTACCTTATGATAATATTTTGGCACATTCTGTATGAACGATTGTGTGCATGTGATAGAGTAAAAAAAAAAATCGAAGGAAACTACATATATCTACCCAAAATTACGAGTTGAAAAATAACCATAACATAGCTCATCCGCTCTGGGTGCTAACTATGGCATCCTCTCTCTCACAATGGTACTGTGAACATCTCCCATGCGTTGAAGCTGGTAAAGTTTTTCTCTACGCACTGGTGAATTTTACTGCAGTCATGGCCCCAAAGACGAAAATTAGTGGCAGTGCTCGTGATGGTGAGTTAGAAAAAGTAAAAGTGCATACAGTACCTTAGTATAGTACTGCATAAAATAAGGGATTATATGATTATATACAGGGGGGACCCGAATATACTGCATGAAAATTTTGCAATTATGGGAGATTTCAGGAATGTAACCCTCGCATACTCCGAGACCATACTGTATGTCAAATTTATATACAAAAAATTCATAACATGAAAGTGTACAATATTAGGCTTAATGTAGGTTCGGCTAATGTACCATTAATTATCCAGGAAGGCCCGTCGTCTCAAAGTTGCCAGATAAGAAAGGGTGAACCTGTACCAGTAGATTTTATAAATGCAGTACCTGTAGAGCTTACTACCTACTACTTTATCTAATTAAGAATTTATAATCATGTTTTTAATAATAAATAGCTTGTAAAGTATATATTTCATTGTAAGGACATATGGGGTCAGTGCGATTTTGGGTTTTTGTACAGGGCCTAACTTTTAGCATACCTGTACATTGTCCATAATTTAGAAAAATCCAAAATCTGCAACCTACAACTACCATCCTTTAGGTTATTCAACTTACAAAAAAGATACTCTACCATTCTGCTTAAATACGACAGTGGTAATCACAAAGAACTTTATTTCATATGGGTTCTAAGAGACTGATAAGATTTTAACTACAAAAATATTAATTTTGACACTAATTATTATATTTCAAGCACCCTTCTCCAAATTAAACTGAAAATGGCAAAACTTATATTAGCTGAATAATAAGTATTGTACATGTGTACTGCACTTACATTTGTAATATTTGGCATATCCAGGAGTTCACCAAAGACATAGACCTCTGGAGCCTCCAGCACCTGTTTAACAAGCTGTACAGCAGCTGCTCCTTTTGCTTGTTTAGCCAGTAAAATATACTGTTCTACTGGGTTGGTCTGATTTGGTTTTTCCCCCATGGTTTTATTGCTATGGAAAGAAAATTGATGATTTAGCTTTGAATACACCTGTATAACACTAAATTAGAGTAAACTCTGATATCAGAGTTTGCTCATTTGACTCTTTTCCCGTGGTTTTATTGGGTTAGCAAAGAAGAAAAAGAAAGGGTATAACTCTAACTACTGTACTTACTTATATGACAGAACAGTGTCCAATTAGAGCTTGGATCTACTGCTGCTGCCACAGTTGCAGACACAAATTTTGACCATTAACCAAGGCACAGACATGAACCCTGGGGTAGCATATATTCTCTCTCTATTTTGTAAAGTTACCTTACCTAATAATGCTCAACTTATTGTGTTTACCAAACCAACATGTACATTGTACAAGTTCTTCAGTAGTTGTTCCAAATGGTAGAAGAGTTTTAAGTACAATCAGATGTGAAAATGAGTATTGTACACACAAAAGTCCAATAATCAGATTCCGAGCCTTGTTTAGGGTATTAATTACCCTTAGTTAGGTGAGAAATCCTACCTGTATGTTTGGATGGGTCTTATTAATATTCAAACACTAAAAAACTTAAATACTGAAGTGCTACATAAAATCAGCACAATTACAATTAATTACTGTACAATAATGAGGTATTTAGGTTAGTTTAGACAACATTAGGCTGAAATCCCTCTGGCTTTTAGGGTGGAGTGAAATAGGTTAGGGTAGAAAATTTTTTAAGGTGATTAAGGTTAGGTTAAGCTGAGCTGGATTATAATGAATTGGATTAGATTAAGTAAGGTTGGGCAGGTAAATATCATAAGCTATTAGCCTTCTTCCCCTGACACATTATGGCAAAATCCGCTTGTAGCGAGGATCAAAGGTTGTTCACAATGTGTACTACTGTAAAGTATATTCAACCAACTTACTCTGAATAGAAAAGGTAAAGTGCTTCTATCATAAGACTGTTGGAAATGTGTTATAAAATACAGGTGTTGGGTGATGTGAATAGGTAATCCCACTGGTGTTGCAGGGTACAATGAAGAGTTGGAGAAAAGCTCAATTGCAGAAGCAGTGATGCAGCTACTTTATTGTCAAGGAAGTAGTGGAAGTGCATTGGAGATGGAAGTACTGTACATTTGAGTGCTTAATGAGCGCTGCAGCAACATTTGGGTTACATTAAAGAAAAGTAATGTACAGTAATTACTGTATATCAATGAGACTTGAGAACATCTTGAAGGTCCGTTGGATTAATCTCCAAGGAATGCTGAAGGTATCTTCAAGAGCAATTGGGGATACAGTGCTGTACCTTTATAAGCAGTTGAAGATTTGATTCAAGATATAGAGTACTGCAGACTTGAACTGTGTAAATGATATATTGGAGACAATTGTTTGTATCCTGGGTACTGTACACATAAATGCATAAGACATTTTAAAATATAAATCACAGAATTTCAACAAACCATTCTATAAAAAAAAAGGTGTAAAACTCAAGACAAATCAAGGCCAGTTATTTGGTAGTCAAATGCTGCCTATAGTTCTACTGATCTATTACCTTTACTCCTTCCACCCTTTGCTATGATGTGGGACAAAGGGTGCAGATACTGTATCTCAAAAAGGGGGTACGGTGATAGAGGAGAATGGTGCATGACAAGTGTAGAAAGCAGGAAGAAATGGCCAAAATAACATGTAGAAACAATCACACACACTTCTTTATTTCCTAGTTAATTGAATCTACCTCTGTAAAGTATTTATATCAGTTCCAGGAAGTCCAACACCTATACTGTACTCTCTATACAGTCCACTCACTCTATGTGTATGCATGTGTATTTTCTATTTCTTAATTGTAAATATAAAAAAAAAGGTATTAGGAGCCAAACAAAACAATAAATTAAATATTACAATGTGGAAGAATGATTTAAACATTAGTGTGTAAACTAAACAAAAACCAACACATACTTGTCACTGGTCGTCATGTTGGCTGCGCTCATGCTGATGGGTGGGTGAGGTGATGATGGTACTGTCCTAATGAGAAACAAAATCAGTAACACAACAAAATTAGATTCCACATCACATACACCATCCATTAGGAAATCATGCTGCTTCTTGTCTACAGACACTATGTAAGACATCAGCCATCTTTTAGGGAAATTGATGACTACCACAGCAATAATTAGGTTCAATGTCACATCATGAGCCAAAAGGAAAACTTGCATTCTCATCTATAATGACTATGAGGTTAATTAACAAGAAGAAAAAATGCAGATGTTTTGTTACCACACACTCAACTCTTATGTTAATCATGAAAGCTGGCATAATAGTTTAATTCAATTTTTCAAAGGTACATGTGTAAACAATGCTACATAAGGAAAAGATAAAAGAAAATACCCAGTGAGCTGTCAGCCAAGGTTGATATTTAGTTCTTTTGGATGAACCAATCACCTTTCCTTCACTACTGTACCATCCCCTCAAACAAGGGTGATAGTGAGAAGACGACAACAACAAAAAAGAAGAAGAAAAGGTAAAGTTTTAGTTTTGGTCATCTGAGGAATCTTAAGAATTGAAATTGGAATCAATAGTTTAAACAATTCTAAGACACTTTTTTTCTATGACGTTTCCTTCGCAAATGACCTGACCTAACATAACTGGGGGGGCTCTGCCCCCCCGGCATATGTAAGTTGTTTGCAAGGGAAACGTCATAGAAGAAAAGTGTCTTAGAATTGTCTAAGCTACTAATTCCCTGGATGAACAAAACTAAAATAATACTGAAGAAAAAACTCAAAAGGTTAAGAAATGTTATTAGAGCCAAGTCTGCCCAATCAGCCATTGATATACAATGGCATAATGTCTATCAACATGATTTTTGTTCAATTCTCAGTTTCTACTGAGTTCTAAGTGACCTCTCACAGACCTAAGGAAGGAGGAAGGGTTGTTGTTAATGGATTTTGGTAGGGGATTTTAGTTTAACCTCATCATAAAATAAATATTAAGCATATAAAAGAAAAAATGCAGCACCAAAAATTTATGCCTTGTCAAAGCAGTAAACAGGTGGCTACCTGTACACCAGCTTGGTGCTGTTTAAACACAGCAGCTAGAAGGCTGTGGCCTACATGACTACCAGTGCTCCATCATAATGCAGTACTGAATCACTAAACTCTGAGCCTTACCATAGAGTATACAGACCAACAAAAATATTATTTTCAGCCTTTTATACTTATGGCTTGTTTTCCCAGTTTTTGCTACGTTAAGACAGCTTTCTCACTTCCAGATGAAAAAAAACGATCTTTTGTTAAGAAATGTATTCCTGTCACCACTATGACACTTAGTCTCTTAGGTCCTGTTTGCCATTATATTAAAAAAAAAGTTGCATATAAATGGTATTAAGAAATGCTATTGCAGTATTAAGAGAACTGTACACAAACTAAAATAAAATTAGATCAGAAAAGATATACAGTACTGTAATCTTATAATCAATGAACATGGACAAAAGAAAAAACATTACAGTTGCCTGTGTATCACTCATCCAACCATAAAAGTGTAGTATAAAAGTTCCTCTTACAAACTATATACTGTAGTCCTCCAAACCCATTCTCAGTAAGATGAGTCACAACATTTATGAAAGGCTGAAAACTCCCTACATAAGCATATCACAGGTTTCAGTAATTATTGTTGTATGAAATGTAGATACACAACACAAATAGCTAAAGCCATCCTTGGGAAATTAGTTATGAAAAATGTGGCATCTTGTTTTATTATAGGTCTCATGCAGCATCTGCGGATAAAAAAAAATTAAAGAAATTGAACAACTCCTTTCGGTGGTAGAGCTGTTCTCATACACTTCCCAGAAATGTCCTAAAGTTGTTGATTCAGGTGTGCAACCTTCCTGCAGTGTTACATTAACCTTTTATAGAAAAAAATACATAAAGTTCCTGGTTCATGTGAATAATTTGGTTAATTTAGTAGGACCCTAATGGAAATAAGCCTTTACTAGCTTTCCTGGGTTATCCCTGGTCCAAGTAATTTACTTTTACCCCTATATATAGCTGCTCTAGCTATGTGTATGCTGATGTAGTGGATCCCTCCCCTACAAACGCTTTTGTCGCTGAGTAGCCGACCCCGCAAATTCCCCAGTGTATGCCTCGTGGTCTAGGTCAACCAGCGCCGCCTTACATGACGGAGGTTAACTATTAAGCCACGCCTACCTCCGCTATATAAGACCTGACCTCGTGGTGACCATCCCCTCTTCTACCTACACCAACCAGCAAGCAACACCTCTTCCTCCACTCCTGCCTGGCAGCCCTCGCTCCAGCCAGTGACCCACACCTCGTGGTGACCTCTCTTACTACCTACAGCCAGTCTTCAAGTAACACCACCTCCTCCACTCCTGCCTGGCGGCCCTCGCTCCCACCGACGACTATGCCGCCCTTCAAGCTGCCTGTACTCCTCTGAGCACCCTCACCAACCAGCTCTCTCTACATCACGCTTGTAACCATGCTGTCTTCCCAGCACCAAGCTGCACTGTACATTCAATACAACATATATACAGAGAGCACATTGTGAGTTTCCTTTCTCCATCCCATCCTGAGTGTGAACCAACATCACGTACCCCACACTGAATCGATGTGAACTTATATCGACTAATAGTTTTTTATTTTATTTGAATTGTTAATATTCTTTTAATGGCTACAGCAAAAATTTAGGTTAGGTTAGGTTAGGTAGTTTTGGTTGGTTGGTTGCGATAACTTAATTAGTAATACATGGTTGATAAGAGGTTAGGTTAGGTTTCAACAGTGATTTGAATGTTGAATTATTATAAAAAAATGGAGCCACAGCCATTAAACGAATATTTGCAGAAGTAATTACGTAAATATTCATCCAGTACAAGCATACATATATAAACAGTTACCGAGGATATCACAAAGTATAAATACGCACCTGTACTTATTTCCAATATGGTCGATAAAGCCCCGTATCAATATTCTAAGTCTAAATTAAATCATTAGTCTATAAACACACGTTAAACCTTTAGCTCACCTCACTTTGACCTATTTTGAGGTAATGGTGCTCACTTGTCGATTATGTTGAGTGATAGTCTCTAGAACACCGTGTGCTCACTGAGGTCAACACACCCGCGCGTCCTCTAGCG